CTACTCTGTGGCTGAAGAAATACTTCCCAACATCCCTGTGATTCATCTGTGTCTTCAACTTCCAACTGTGTCCCCTTGTTGCTGTGTCCCATCTCAGGAACATCCTGTCTTTGTCCACCTTGTCAATTCCTCTCAGTATTTTGTATGTCGTTATCATGTCCCCCCTATCTCTCCTGTCCTCCAGTGTCGTCAGGTTGATTTCCCTTAACCTCTCCTCGTAGGACATACCTCTTAGCTCTGGGACTAGTCTTGTTGCAAACATTTGCACTTTCTCTAGTTTCTTTAAGTGCTTGGCTAGGTGTGGGTTCCAAACTGGTGTCGCATACTCCAATATGGGCCTAACGTACACGGTGTACAGGGTCCTGAACGATTCCTTATTGAGATGTCGGAATGCTGTTCTGAGGTTTGCTAGGCGCCCATATGCTGCAGCAGTTATTTTGTTGATGTGCGCTTCAGGAGATGTGCCTGGTGTTATACTCACCCCAAGATCTTTTTCCTTGAGTGAGGTTTGTAGTCTCTGGCCCCCTAGACTGTACTCCGTCTGCGATTTTCTTTGCCCTTCCCCAATCTTCATGACTTTGCACTTGGTGGGGTTGAACTCCAGGAGCCAATTGCTGGACCAGGTCTGCAGCCTGTCCAGATCCCTTTGTAGTTCTGCCTGGTCTTCGATCGAATGAATTCTTCTCATCATCTTCACGTCATCTGCAAACAGGGACACTTCGGAGTCTATTCCTTCCGTCATGTCGTTCACAAATACCAGAAACAGCACTGGTCCTAGGACTGACCCCTGTGGGACCCTGCTGGTCACAGGTGCCCACTCTGACACCTCGTCACGTACCATGACTCGCTGCTGTCTTCCTGACAAGCATTCCCTGATCCATTGTAGTGCCTTCCCTGTTATCCCTGCTTGGTCCTCCAGTTTTTACACTAATCTCTTGTGTGGAACTGTGTCAAGCACCTTCTTGCAGTCCAAGAAAATGCAATCCATCCAACCCTCTCTCTCTTGTCTTACTGCTGTCACAATGTCATAGAACTCCAGTAGGTTTGTGACACAGGATTTCCCGTCCCTGAAACCCCTGTTGGCTGCTGTTGATGAGATCATTCCCTTTCTAGGTATTCCACCACTCTTCTCCTGATAATCTTCTCCATGACTTTGCATACTATACATGTCAGTGACACTGGTCTGTAGTTTAGTGCTTCATGTCTGTCTCCTTTTTTAAAGATTGGGACTACATTTGCTGTCTTCCATGCCTCAGGCAATCTCCCTGTTTCGATAGATGTATTGAATATTGTTGTTAGGGTACACATAGCGCCTCTGCTCCCTCTCTCAGGACCCATGGAGAGATGTTATCTGGCCCCATTGCCTTTGAGGTATCTAGCTCACTCAGAAGCCTCTTCACTTCTTCCTCGGTTGTGTGTACTGTGTCCAGCACTTGGTGGTGTGCCCCACCTCTCCGTCTTTCTGGAGCCCCTTCTGCCTCCTCTGTGAACACTTCTTTGAATCTCTTGTTGAGTTCCTCACATACTTCATGGTCATTTCTTGTTGTCTCTCCTCCTTCCTTCCTTAGCCTGATTACCTGGTCCTTGACTGTTGTTTTCCTCCTGATGTGGCTGTATAACAGTTTCAGGTCAGATTTGGCTTTCGCTGCTATGTCGTTTTCATATTGTCGTTGGGCCTCCCTTCTTATCTGTGCATATTCATTTCTGGCTCTGCGACTGCTCTCCTTATTCTCCTCTGTCCTTTGCCTTCTATATTTCTTCCATTCCCTAGCACACTTGGTTTTTGCCTCCCTGCACCTTTGGGTGAACCATGGGCTCGTCCTGGCTTTTTCATTATTCCTGTTACCCTTGGGTACAAACTTCTCCTCAGCCTCCTTGCACATTGTTGCTACATATTCCATCATCTGGGCTGCAAAAAACAATATGAAGTTCAACGATGAGAAATTTCAATTACTCAGATATGGTAAACACGAGGAAATTAAATCTTCATCAGAGTACAAAACAAATTCTGGCCACAAAATAGAGCGAAACACCAACGTCAAAGACCTGGGAGTGATCATGTCGGAGGATCTCACCTTCAAGGACCATAACATTGTATCAATCGCATCTGCTAGAAAAATGACAGGATGGATAATGAGAACCTTCAAAGCTAGGGAGGCCAAGCCCATGATGACACTCTTCAGGTCACTTGTTTTATCTAGGCTGGAATATTGCTGCACACTAACAGCACCTTTCAAGGCAGGTGAAATTGCTGACCTAGAAAATGTACAGAGAACCTTCACGGCGCGCATAACGGAAACAAAACACCTAAATTAATGGGAGCGCTTGAGGCTCCTGAACCTGTATTCCTTGGAACGCAGGCGGAGAGATACATGATTATATACACCTGGAAAATCCTAGAGGGACTAGTACCGAACTTGCACACGAAAATCACTCGCTACGAAAGCAAAAGACTTGGCAGACGATGCAACATCCCCCCAATGAAAAGCAGGGGTGTCACTAGCACGTTAAGAGACCATACAGTAAGTGTCAGGGGCCCGAGACTGTTCAATTGCCTCCCAGCATACGTAAGGGGGATTACCAACAGACCCCTGGCAGTCTTCAAGCTGGCACTGGACAAGCACCTAAAGTCGGTTCCTGACCAGCCGGGCTGTGGCTCGTACGTTGGTTTGCGTGCAGCCTGCAGTAACAGCATGGTTGATCAGGCTTTGATCCACCAGGAGGCCTGGTCACAGACCGGGCCGCGGGGGCGTTGACCCCGGACTCTTCCGGGGAAAAACCCCAGGTATTTGTTATTACCTGGATTTTTCCCTGGAGTTTCCCTGGAGAGAGTTTGGGGGTAACGCCCCCGGGGCCCCCGGTCTGTGACCGGCCCCCTGGTGGATCGGGCCCCTGATAAACCCCAGCTTTTGTGTCCATACCTTCATTTTCCCTTTCCAACATGTGGTTTGGGGGCCTGTGAGAGTGGGAGATTTGGTGACACTGTGGGATTCTATAGCGGGGTTTTGGGTGGAAGGTGGGTAGGTTTGTAGTTTGTTTTGGGGAGGTGTGATAGGTTTGTGGGGTTTGAGGTTTGTTGTGTTGTGCTTGCCCTTGCTGCTCGCTCTGCTTGATTGACCTCTCTGGTTCCTCCTTGTCCCCTTTCCTAGCCCCTTTTAGCTTTTTTGTCCTCCCCCAACTGCTGCTTCTGTTTGTGTTCTTCTCTGTTAAGAACCCCCTCTTGTACTTTCGTTATTCAACCGTGGTTTTTTTGGAGGATCCGTTCCGCACGTTTTTGTCCTGAGAATCAGCTTTTCGGGCGTTTTCTCCCCCTTCAAGTACCCCCCCCTTTTCTGAAAATTTAATCTGTCCATGTCTTTCCACCTATTTCCGTGGTGATTGTCTCAATCTCCCTTTTTTTCTACCTGCCCTCTTTCAGTGTGTGTCCTTTCCTCTCTTCCTAAGTCCCATGGGGTAAAAATGATTTTGCCCCTTTCTCTCCCCCTTTTGGGCTGGTTCCCGTTGTACGTGGTCATTTTCTCCCTTTATTTTTCCAGGGCTCTTGGGAGCTGGTTTTGGGCCCCTTTCATTCAAACCCATCACCCTTCTCCCGCACCCAGCTGCTTTCCCTTTTCATCCCTTCCCTTCTTGGCAGGCTGTTATGACCTTGCATAATCATTCTCCTTTCTTCCCGTTCGGCCTCTCAGCTTATATGCTGTGTTTTTTGGTCACTGCCCCTTAACTTTCCTCAGCTGTTTATCTCATCTTCTAGGACCCTTATCCTGGCTACTGCGTTTCGACATGTGCCCCCAATTCTTCTTCTTTTCCCCAAACCCCTTTCAATTTCCAGAAAGCTCTTTCTATTTTTTTAGAAAGCTTTCCCAATTTTCTCTCCCCCCTCTTGTTCCTCCCTTTTCCCCCTGTCCTCCATCCACTCATCCCTACCAGAACCATTTCATCTGTCCCTGGTTCCTGTTGGTTGGTGTGTGACCAACAAACAATATTTGCCCAAAAATCATTACGTTTTTACAGTTGTACCCAGTTGGAAGTGTGAATTGCTTATTACTCTATAATTTGTTCATGATTGTAGCCATGTATAAACGTAAGTAACCATTCTTACAGGATTCAATACCTTTGTAACTTGTGAGTTCATTACCTTTGTACCTAGTTCAGCTATCAAAACTTTGGGGGCCCAGTCCCTGGACCCATTACGTACCTCTGTAATCTGTAAATACCTTTGTAACTTGTCATGATTGTGACCAGACCTACCTGGAGTTCATTACCTTTGTAAATTGTGAGTTCATTACCTTTGTAAATTGTGAGTTCATTACCTTTGTAATTGTGAGTTCGTTACCTCTGTAACTTGCTCAGCTATCAAAACTTTGGAGACCAGTCCCTGGGCCAATTATGTACCTCTGTAATCTTTTGACTACCGCCCACAGGATGGGTATGGGGTGCATAATAAACATATTAAACTAACTATGATATTGCATAATTTATCATCTTCAGGCCCACTGTAAAAATTAATTACGGCTTTCTATATAGTAGTATGTCATTAATGTCAGCTAGACCTTTATATCTTGTACATGAACTTACAGAAATAAAGATATGATTACAGTATTAATATTATTCCTTCCACTTTGTTCGAGATTTCTTCCCAGAATACCGAAAGACAGAATCCGATACGGCATAAGCTGTCAGTGGCCTTAAAGAAAACATGAATAATAAGAAAGAACCTATAACAGAAGAGTGTGTGGTCGTCCCGTTCTGAGGTGGCTTGGCAAGGGGGTCCACCTGATCTAATTGGGAGCTTCTAGTTTCTGTTTTTATTTACAAGAGGACTCGTGTTCCCTTTTCTTTCATGGCTCAGCTGTGGTCAATATTTCTTCTCCGTGCACCGGGAAGCATGGCTCCATACAACCTAAGCTGTCCATGGTCCTTACAAACCCAACACGAAGACCAAACAAGTTGAAATCTGTAAGTAAACTGCAAACATCTTCTAGAAGAGGAGAAGTTAACGTACTGTCACGTACTGTACAGTGGTGATATTAGTGTTGATAGAATTACCGACAATATGTTAAGTAAAAGGACACAAGTGTAACTAATGTGACATTTTATTGTGGCAACGTTTCGCGGCTTTATAAAGCTCCTGGAGAGCGAAACGTTGCCACACTAAAATGTCACATTAGTTGCACTACTGTCCTTTTACTTGACAAAGTGATAATAGTTTGATGTGATTCCTTCTATCAAGTGTTGCTCCGCAGCCATCAAAAGTATCATCCTCTGAGGTGCACTCATAAGTTCCTCAGTTATCCGGGTGGCAAGTTCGACGACTTAAAATATAACAATTAATTATCCAACAACATAATTCAAGTTTAGGCTAGGTTTGTGCATGCTGATAGTTTTATCAAATTTATATGTGGGAGAACTCTTCGCCAGTAGGAAAATTTAGGTGACTTGTTTGGTGGCTTGTGGCTCAAGTCCCCTCAAGGAAGGTTCCTTGACGCTGTTGAGGGGCTCTTGATCTAGGGAATTGGATCTGTGCTCCAGTTCCCTGAATTAAACCTGAACACCTTCCACATCCCCCACCCCCCTACAGGCGCTGCATAATCTTACGGGTTTAGCGCTCCCCCTTGATTATAATAATTGTGGCTCAAGTTATAATAAAGTATCACATGGACCCCAATGGAAATAAGTCACTTTGTCTGACTTTTTTGAGGGGGTTATCCTAGGTAATTTACACATATGTTACTCTGTATGATAATTACAGTCACCTAAAGTTGTGAAACTACTTATTTTTACCTATATCTAAATAAACTTGTATCTTCAGCTCATCTAAACAACCAGCACAACTGGAAACTTTATGACTGTTTCCTCACACCTCTTGCTCTTGTTCACTTAGCAGTAAATAGGTACCTGGGTATAACCATACATTTGTCCTCATTGATATACATTTGCAGCTTTTCTAACCACAATATCAACCTACTCAAATCTCCTTGAATCCCCCTGGTGTCCTCAGAAATTATTTATTGGTCTAGTTTTGTGTAATCAATAAATTTATTGTACTTGTGTAGCTCTTTATTCCCTTATCTGTTCCACGAACACAGACTCGTTTTTGACTAAGAGTTTATCAACAAGCCATAGGCTAAGCCAATAAATAGCATACCATATATGTATGCCAAAATATTCAGATTGTAAATTTTTAAACATTACGTGTATTTTGCAGTTTCTGTCGTGCAGTATTTTACTGCTGTATAACATCAAAATAAGCATGTTTGTAACTTTGTTTAAATACTTATTTATACATCCTGTAATATTACAGAATACAGATAATAATCAAGTAACTGAAGTAGTAATGACCAGACCCCAGCTGTGACCATGAGTCTGAGGAGGAAGAGAAAACAAGATGCAGCCTATGATGTAAGCAGTTACATGATTTTGTGTATGGCATTTTTTAAGAACATTTCATTATTATTGATTAAATCATCTAAAGAAGCCTATGGTGGTTGGTGGTTTCAAGAAGGGAAGGGGGGCTTGATGCTGATGAATGGGGGCTCTTGATCTGGAATGGCACTACCCACTGTCTCCTCAAAGCAAACCTGATTGTCTCCCATTCTCCAGATGCTGTATTACTCTTAGGGGCCGAGTGCTTTCTCACAAATATATTATTGTGATCAACAGTGACTGCGTGCCCACCGCATTCAATGTATATAGTATTTTGGCGCTAAAATATTATAAGAAATATTAAAATATCACTGTATTAGATAATTTTGCTTTCATTTAGCAAGATATATAATGTATAATATCAACACAGTGGGAAGTACAGTGCCTGCACTCTGAAGGAGGGGTGTTGTTAAGTTGCAGTTTTATAATTGTAGTGTAGGCACATCTCTGGCAAGACAATGATGGAGTGAATGATGATGGAAGTGCTTTTTTTTTCAGGTCACCCTCCCTTGGTGTGAAACGGCTGATGTGTTAAAAAAATCAGCACAGTCATTTATTTCCATGTACAACTTAATTTAATCTAGAAAGAATGCTGAATTACAATATGGCTCATAAATACTATATTGTATGAATGCTGAAGTTTACCATTAGTTCACATTAATAGATGGTGTTTTTTACATCAACTGAAAAGCCATCCAACAACGATAATTATATAATTAACAGAAAAGCATTGGTGTTAGAGCTACAGGTAGATAAATGGAAAAATAGATTAAGTATGTGTACTGGTATAACCTGTCAGGAACAGGTATTTTGAGGCTTGTCAAGTCTAGGGTAAGGTTATGTTTGTGTGGTCAGAAATCCAGTTACTTAACCAGACTGACATGGGCACCTAAGGCTCAGGGGTAGAGCATTCAGTTCACAACTGAGAGGACTCTTGTCTAAATCCTGGGCAGGACATGACATACTGGCAAGTATGCTCCTGTTCACCTAATAGTGAATAGACACCTAGGAGCTTGTCAGGTGTTACGGTATGCAGCCTAGGGTAGACCTCAGTGGAAATAAACCATGCTGCACTACTTGTACTTGGTTGTCCTGGGCTATAACCTAGGTTTATATAACTTCAACAATGTTTTCTATCAGTCATCCCCTCAAGGGAGGTTCCTTGATGATAAATTAGACACATGTGCAACTCTTGGGTATCTTTACTGAGGAAACGTTTTGCCACACAGTGGCTTCTTCAGTTCATACAAAGGAGAATCGTGAAGAGCAGGAGGAGAATGAGGTAATCAGTCCCTCAACCTTGAGTCGATGTGGTCAGTCCATCAATCTTGAATAGAATACAGCTTATGAGCGGAGAAGTGGCTTATGTACCGTAGGCAGGAGAGGTGCAGTAGTTGTAGGTGGTGTCACATTTGTGCATGCGGAAGTAGGTCGTGCCCAAGGGTTAGGCAAGCAAAGAATTCCCAAGTATTAAGATCCCAAGAAGTTGCAGTGTCTGACAGGAATGTAGATGAATGGTTCAGAGAACCGACATGTTGATAAATTAGACACATGTGCAACTCTTGGGTATCTTTATTGAGGAAAAGTTTCGCCACATAGTGGCTTCTTCAGTCCATACAAAGGAGAATCGTAAAGAGCAGGAGGAGAATGAGGTAATCAGTCCCTCAACCTTGAGTCGATGTGGTAAGTCCATCAATCTTGAATAGAATACAGCATATGAGCGGAGAAGTGGCTTATGTACCGTAGGCAGGAGAGGTGCAGCAGTCGTGGGTGGGAATTCTTTGCTTGCCTAACCCTTGGGCACGACTTCCTTCCACATGGACAAATGTGACACCACCTACGACTGCTGCACCTCTCCTGCCTATGGTATATAAGCCACTTCTCTGCTCATATGCTGTATTCTGTACCATACAGAGGTTACTTTTTTTGTCAGTGCATTCTGCTGGGTAGCAGCCATTAGCATGATATTACGGCCTTCCGCCACACTTCACAGTGACTTCTGATTCCTCACGTGGCTGCCACATGGTTGCACTATTGTCTCTCATCCATCCCATCTTTTGTGAAGTGTTCCTTTTGGTTTTGGAGCTATACATCTTTGATTATGGGTAAAAGGAAGTCTTAACACCTGAAACTATAGCTCAAATCATAGGGCTTCGCAAAGCTGGGCACCAGACGAAAGAAATAGTGGAGAATGTTAGTGTATGTGAGCTTTCAGTGAGGAACTGGGAGTAGCATTTCAAGGCTGGTGGAGGTGTTGAGTTATCGTCTGCCAAACCTCGGCCTGGCCCCTCCAAGAAGACATCTGCTCATACTTTAACTGTGTTAAAGAAGCAGTTAGAGAGTAACTGCTTCTTTAATACAGTTAAGGTACAATCAGATGTCTTCTTGGAGGGGCCAGGCCGAGGTTTGGCAGACGATAACTTGACACCTGGAATTTACCTGGAGAGAGTTCCGGGGGTCAATGCCCCAGGGCCCGGTCTGTGACCAGGCCTCATGGTGGATTAGGGCCTGATCAAACAGGCTGTTACTGCTGGCTGCACACAATCCAAGCCTTGAAATGCTGCACCTAGGTCCTCACTGAATGCCCACACACACTAACATTCTCCACTATTTCTTACATCTGGTGCCCAGTTCTGTGAAGCATACGATTTGAGCTATAGTTTCAGGTGTTAAAGACTTCCTTTTATAAATAATCAAAGATGTTTAGCCCAAAACCAAAGAGAACACTTCACAAAAGATGGGACGGATGAGAGACAAAAGTGGAACACTTCCTCTCACCATGGCATCCACGTGAGCAATGAGAAGTCACTGTGAAGTGTGGTGGAAGGCCATGATGTCATGCTAATGCCTGCTACCCAGCAAAATGCACTGACAAAAAAAAAAAAAACCTGTATGGTAGGTCTTTGATTTTCTTCACAGCATTATGCTGGGGCGCTCACCTGGCTGTGACAAGCACTGTACAGATAATGTAATTTACATGTAATAACATTTTTCTTTCGTTCAACAGACCAACCGTATTCCACCAAGGCGGGGTGGCCCAAAAGGAAAAATGCAAGTTTTCCCTTTTACATTTAGTATTATACATATACAGGAGAAGGGGTTACTAGCCCCTTGCTCCCGGCATTTTAGTCGCCTCTTACAACACATGGCTTACGGAGGAAGAATTCTGTTCCACTTCCCCATGGAGACAAATACAAATACTGTACTTTATTTCTTTTATGCAGTATACAGATAATGTCGTTTACATATACATATACATGTAAAACACCTCAATTACTGGGAGCGCTTAAAGTTCCTGAATCTGTATTCCCTGGAACGCAGGGGAGAGATACATGATTATATACACCTGGAAAATCCTAGAGGGACTAGTACCGAACTTGCACACGAAAATCACTCACAACGAAAGCAAAAGACTTGGCAAACGATGCAACATCCCCCCAATGAAAAGCAGGGTGTCATTAGCATGTTAAGAGACCATACAATAAGTGTCAGGGGCCCGAGACTGTTCAACTGCCTCCCAGCATACATAAGGGGGATTACCAATAGACCCCTGGCAGTCTTCAAGCTGGCACTGGACAAGCACCTAAAGTTGGTACCTGACCAGCCGGACTGTGGCTCGTACGTTGGATTGCATGCAGCCAGCAGTAACAGCCTGGTTGATCAGGCTCTGATGCACCAGGAGGCCTGGTCACAGACTGGGCCACGGGGGCGTTGACCCCCGGAACTCTCTTCAGGTAAACTCCAGGTAATAAAATATTGTTAGGCACAAAAGAAAGCTTCAAGCATACAGTGTTTTTTTTTTTTTAAATTAGAAGGAGTTTATGAAGCAGTGCATAGAGAGGGATATTTCTTATGTGTAACAATTAAATCATTTCAGTTATTTTTGATAAATTTGCAGAATAATACTATTGTTGCTTAGGCACTTTATATATGTCATAATATTGTCATGGATAATGTTTTGTGTCAAAGATTGTACAATATTTGATAGTAGGAGCTAATTTATTACATGCAGATTCTATTAATGTCTTAGGTGACTGAATACTTTGTTACTAACATAATTTATTTCCAATTTCAGGGATGGACTGAAAGAGAGGCTTTTCTTGAGGAATTTTTATCACTTTCCCCTGGAGTATCATTGAGTCAGCAATCTGCAATTGAATGGTCAAGCAGTGATGAGGAAAATGAAAACAAATCCAGCAAAACTGTTGTTGTTCCTGGAATACGAGTTATTAATTTCTCAAAAAAATTACAATCATCAGCTTTTCATAATAAAATGGAGTGGAGGAAGACAGAACGAAGTAAAGCTGAGCCTATGAAGGAGACTTCTGATGGTGTAGTGTCATGTCAAGTAAAGTCATCAGAGCCAAGTGAAGGATTGACACTTGATTCCCAAAGACTAGAATTATGTACATCTGAAACCAATGGGTTGCCTACCCCAGCACAGCAGAATATGAATTCAGATAACATATACCCACGTGTTTCTTCCAGCTATCATTGTAGCAATAAGGACAATGGTGAAACCAGTTTTCACGCTGTTTCATTCAAAACTCCTAAGAAAGAAAGAGAAACAAATAATATCCCTCATGATGGAGACTATGCATCACCAATCATAGGATCTCAGCGCAGTAGACGAACAGTGAAAGAACATATGCTAAGAGATGGTTTGGGTGATATTGGTGCCACAGAGCCAAGTTCCCCTATTCTGGGATCACAAACCATAATGAGGAAGCAAAGAAATGTATTTAAATTGATGCATGAAAGAAACTCTAGCTTTGGTTTTGCTTTTGAAAAGCTGAAAGGTGATACTGGAATTTCAGAATCATGTAGAAACATTGCTGGAAGTGAAGCTCAAACACCTGCTACAGAAATAATGAATGAGAATGAAGATCCTTTAAAGTCAAAAATTAGAAGACGAAATCTAAGTTATGCATTCTCTCAGTTAGAATATCAAGGATCTAAAAGTAATGAAGAAAATAATGAAGACAAGAGAGATTTAAGCAACATGAAAAATCAAATATCTTGTGGTTATACACAGCCTCTGAAAAAGAATACCAATTCCTTCATTAAGAAAAACACAGATACCAACATGGATGTTACATCACAAAGCTCAAAAGCAAACAAGAATGAAGAAAGCACTTTCTGGAATCTAACAAAGAATTCACAGAGTCTAAAAGTTTCAGAGACTACCTCTAGATTCTCAGCTTTTAAAGATTTTCTTCTCAAACATGAGAGAGAAACATGTGGAGATGATTTGTTAATTGAGGAGTCCACTTCACAGAATGATGATGTAAGTGGTGAAGTAGCTGACAGCCAGTCAGATGTTGACATTGACAGTATTCCTTCACCATCTAAGGAAGCTTCCGACAGTCTTGGAAAATCTTTGGTAAGAATATATTGTCTAAATAAACTAACTTGGTAATGCCTAAAAGCCCTGTAGTGAAAAATTACTTTGGTAAGGTATTCATCTTAAATTTCGTGTCGGTTTGCTGTTTTTTATTGAGTGTATTGTTAATAGTGCTTTTTAAGTTTTTCTTGCAAGAAAAATTTAAAAAGCACTATTAACAATACAGTGGACCCCCGCATAACGATGGCATCGCATAGCGATTTTTCCGCATAACGATTACTTTTATCGCAAAATTTTTGCCCCGCATACCGATTAAAAACCCGCATACCGATTTTCGTCCGAGACGCGTCCAATGTGCCCTCACATGTGCCGGCCGTCCCATTGTTTACCAGCCAGCCTCCGCGGTAACATCCAAGCATACACTCGGAATATTTCGTATTATTACAGTGTTTTCGGTGGTGTTTCTGGAAAATAAGTGACCATGGGCCCCAAGAAAGCTTCTAGTGCCAACCCTGTGGTAAAAAGGGTGGAATTAGTATGGGAAATTAAGAAAGAATTTTGAAGGGTTTGGGCTAACCCTGAGAAGCCTATGCCAGTTGTGGAATCCATTGTGCCTACTTCAAGATTAAGGAAATGTGTGCAGAGTGGTTTGAACTGCAAACCTTTATAGATGAAATCACCCTGACACAGCTGTTGCAAGCCGTGCTTGTGACTATTTCAATGACAATGTTATGGCCCATTTTAGGAAAGTCTTGAAGAAACGGGAGGTACAGAGCTCTATGGACAGATTTGTTGTGCGACAGAGGTCCAGTGACTCTGAAGCTGGTCCTAGTGGCATTAAAAGAAGAAGGGAAGTAACCCCAGAAAAGGACTTGCTACCTCAAGTCCTAATGGAAGGGGATTCCCCTTCTAAACAGTAAGAAGATAATGCTCTCCCCTCCTCCCATCCCATCAATCATCACCAGATCTTCAATAAAAGTAAGTGTCATGTAATTGTGCATGCCTTTTTCAGTTTGTGTGTATTAAAATTAACATTTCATGTGGTAAAAAAAATTTTTTTTCATACTTTTGGGCGTCTTGCACGGATTAATTTTATTTCCATTATTTCTTATGGGGAAAATTAATTCGCATAACGATTATTTCGCATAACGATGAGCCCTCTTGCACGGATTAAAATCGTTAACCGGGGGTCCACTGTACATAAATTCTGTAAGCTGGCTCAAATAACCCTTTCTTTCTGAACATTGCTTCCTACTACAGCTGAACAAGCATGTGAAATTCTTATATTGTTGAAATGTGTCAAGTATACATTAAAAATCTGATACTTGAGACTCTTGAAAAATCTGAGAAATGTTATCTTCTTCAAGAGTCTCTTGTGGTGAAGGGGCTCTTGATCTGAGGAATTGGACTGATTTTCCTTTTCCTCAGACATTGTTCTAACATAACTTCCATAGGTAGTGCTGCAGTGGTTGTGTCATTTCCCTCAATAGAGCTGGTGAGGGTTCTTGATCCAAGGAACTGGATTTATCCTTCCCTTCACAATGTAAAGCGTTTGTATTATGGTATAATACAAATATGTATGAGCCAAAACCAGATGCATTCGTCTGTTTGTTATTACATACTCCGCATCTCTATCCTCTCTCATTTACTCACTCTTGTTGATTCGTTGTATCTCGTTTACTCACCTCTCACCCTACATTAAGACTATGAATATTTGAAGGTAAGTAATGGGTGTACTATATGTATATTTTACTTTTTTATTGTTTTTTAATGCCTAGTTCTATTGCTAGTTTAATATATGTTAGTGTAAACTTATCTAGTATTTATATGCATTTATAAGTGGAAAAAAAGGGTATTCCACTTTACGGCGGTAGCCTGGAACCTAACCTACCATATAAGTGGGGCCCTACTGTATATATTGTAACCATAATGAAGCCTCTATATTATGTGAGAAACGGCTCACTGAAGATAGGACACCAAATGTAGAGCTCTGCTCATGTAACTACAAATAGTTCATCACATTACATATATAATATGCATAATTAGAATGTATAATCTTATTTTTTTTTATTTATTATCACATTGGCCATCTCCCACCAAGGCAGGGTGGCCCAAAAAAAGAAAAACTATCATCATTCATTCCATCACTGTTTTGCCAGAGATGCACTTACACTACAGTTATAAAACTGCAGCATTAACACCCCTCCTTCAGAGTGCAAGCAGTGCATTTCCCACCTTTAGGACTCAAGTCTGGCCTGCCAGTTTCCCTGAATCCCTTCATAAATGTTACCTTGCTCACACTTCAACATCACGTCAAGTCCTAAAAACCATTTGTCTCCACTCCTATCTAATATGCTCACACATGCTTGTTGTAAGTCCAAGCCCCTAGCACACAAAATCTCCTTTATCCCCTCCCTCCAACCTTACCTAGGCTGATCTTTACCCCGCTTTCCTTCCACTACAGATTTATGTGCTCTCCAAGTCATTCTATTTCGTTCCACCCCCTTTAAATAAATGTCCGAACCACCTCAACACCCCTCCTCAGCCCTCTGGATAATACTTTTAGTAACCCCTCACCTCTTATTTTCCAAACTATGGATTCTCTGCATTAATATTTACATCACACACTGCCCTCAGACATGACATCTCCACTGCCTCCAACCTTCTCCTTGTTGCAACATTCACCACCCATATAAGAGCATTGATATAACTATGCTCTCATACATTCACCTCTTTGCTTCCATGGATAATATTCTTTGTCTTCACAGACTCCTCAGTGCACCACTCATCTTTCTCCACTCATCAGTTCTATGATTCACCTAATCTTTCATAGATCCATCTGCTGACACATCCACTCCCAAATATCTGAATACACTCATCACCTCCTCCATACTCCCTCCCCCAATCTGGTATCCAGTCTTTTGTTACTTAATTTTTTTTTTATCTTCATCACCTTACCTTTCCTATATTCACTTTTAATTTCCTTTTTTTATGCACCTTACCAAACTCGTCCACCAACCTCTGCAACTTCTCTTCAGAAATCTCCCAAAGGCACAATATCATCAGCAAAGAGCAACTGTGACAACTCTCTCTTTGTGTTATATTCTTTATTTTTTAACCCCACACCTCTTGCCAGCACCTGAGTATTCACTTCTCTTACAACCCATCCATAAATATATTGAACAACCACGGTGACATCAGACATTCCTGTCTAAAGCCTACTTTTACTGAGAAATGATCTTCCTCTCCTCCATACTCTAACCTGAGTTTCACTGTCCTCGTAAAAACTCTCCACTGCTTTCAGTAACCTACCTCCTATTCCATACATTGAGAACATCTGCCACATTGCCCCGCTATCCACCCTATCATACGCTTTTTCCATATCCATAAATACCATAAAAACTTATTTAGCCTTATCTAAATACTGTTCACCTATATGTTTCACTGTAAACACTTGGTCTACACATCCCCTACCCTTCCTAAAACCTCCTTGTTCATCTGCTATCCTGCTCTCCATCGTACTCTTAATTCTTTCAATAATAACGCTCTCTTTTGTCCCCTTTGCCTTTATACAAAGGAACTATGCATGCTGCTCTGCATTAGATTTAGTCTGCCCGAAATGCCTCGGCATGATAGTGGCTTTCTTTGCACTTGCAAATCAATATTGTAATTACACATTGTAAACTATGCATGGAAATAGACTCCTTATACCATGTCAGTCACACATTGTAAACTTTGCAAAGAAATAAAAGTTGGAATTTGAATTTGATTCCCTAGGAACCTTACCCTCTTCCACACATTTATTAAATAAAAGAAATAACCATTCCAAAACTGTATTTCCCCCTGCTTTAAACATTTCTGTCTTTATCCCATCAATCCCTGCTGTTTTACCCCCTTTCATTCTATCCATTGTCTCATGCATTTTCCCCGTATTCACAACTGGCTCTTCATCACTTCTACAAGATGTTATTCCTTCCTGCTCAATACACAAAATCACAGCTTCCCTATCCTCATCAGCATTGAACAATTCCTCAAAATATCTTCTCAATACATGTACCTCTAACTCTCCATCTAACAACTCTCCTCTCCTATTTTTAACTATCAAATCTATTTGTTCTCCAAGGAGAAGTGGAACAGAATTCTTCCTCTGTAAGGCATGCATATCATAAGAGGCAACTAAAATGCTGGGAGCAAGAGGTTAGTAACTCCTTCTCCTGTATACATTACTAAATTTAAAAAGAGAAACTTTCGTTTTTCTTTTTGAGTCACCCTGCCTTGGTGGGATATGGCCGGTTTGATGAAAAAAAATTCCATTTGCTCCCTAGGCTTTCTCAACTTATTAATCTCACTCCAAAACTTTTTCTTATTTTATACACAGGAAAGTTACGAAGCGAGTATCTCATCTGGGTCAGTCCCATCATCTGCTCCAGTAACCAACAAACAGGAGGGAAAATTGATGACTGGGTCACACTGGATCAAAATGCTTCAACAACAGACACCTGAGAAACCATCAAGTAAAGAAAAGACTGAAGGTGGAGTGGAATCAGCAAAGAAGAAATCAAAAAAGTATGTTTAATTGGCTTTCAGTCTCTCAAGTAGAACAGTATATGCTGTAGTTGTGAGTGGCCGTTAAATTCTTTGACTAGAGAATGTTAGAATAAAAGAAGCAAATGAGTTAGGTAAAGAAAAATTGGATATCGCACTGGAGGGAGGGAGTATGGAAGAAGTGAATGTGTTCAGATATTTGGGAGTAGATATGTCAGCAGATGGGTTTATGAAGGACAAGGTTAACCATAGAATTGATGAAGAAAACAAGGTGAATGGTGCATTGAGGTATCTGTGGGGACAAAAAATGTTATCCATTGAGGCAAAGAAGGTAATGTACGAGAGTATAGTGTACCAACACTTATGTGGGTGTGAAATGTGGGTTATGAATTTTGCAGTGAGAAGGAGGCTGGAGGCACTGGAGGTGTTGTGTCTAAGGGCAATGTATGGTGTAAATATTATGCAGAGAATTCATAGTGTGGAAATTAAGTGTGGAGTGACTAAAAGTATTGTTCAGAGTGCTGAAGAGGGGTTATTGAGGTGGTTTGGTCATTTAGAGAGAATGGGGCAAAATAGGTTGACTTGGAGGGTGTATAAATCTGTGGAGGAGGGGTAGGGGTCATCCTAAGAAAGGATGGAGGGAGGGGGCAAAAGAAGTTTTGGGTGCAAGGGGCATGGACATGCAGCAGGCATGTGTGAGCATGTTAGATAAGAGTGAAAGGAGTTGAATGGTTTTTGGGACCTGACAAGTTGTTGGAGTGTGAGCAGGGTAATTTTTGTGAAGGGATTCAGAGAAACTGGTTAGCTGGACTTGAGTCCTGAAGGTAGGAAGTACTATGCTTTCACTTTAAAGGAGGAGTTTGGGATTCTAGCTATTTGGAGTGACATCTAAACCTCTGTAAAGACAGTACAGTGGACCCCCGGTTAACGATTTTAATCCGTGCAAGAGGGGTAATTGTTATGCGAAATAATCGTTATGTGAATGAATTTTCCCCATAAGAAATAATGGAAATAAAATTAATCCGTGCAAGACACCCAAAAGTATGAAAAAATTTTTTTTTTACCACATGAAATGTTAATTTTAATACACACAAACTGAAAAAGGCATGCACACTTACATGACACTTACTTTTATTGAAGATCTGGTGATGATTGATGGGATGGGAGGAGGGGAGAGTGTCGAACTTATTGTTTAGAAGGGGAATCCCCTTCCATTAGGACTTGAGGTAGCAAGTCCTTTTCCGGGGTTACTTCCCTTCTTCTTTTAATGCCACTAGGACCAGCTTGAGAGTCACTGGACCTCTGTCGCACAACAAATCTGTCCATAGAGCTCTGTACCTCCCGTTCCTTTACGATTTGTCTAAAATGGGCCACAACATTGTCATTGAAATAGTCACCAGCACGGCTTGCAACAGCTGTGTCAGGGTGATTTTCATCCATAAAGGTTTGCAGTTCAACCCACTGTGCACACATTTCCTTAATTTTTGAAGTAGGCACAATGGATTCCACAACTGGCATAGGCTTCTCAGGGTTAGCCCCAAACCCTTCAAAATCTTTCTTAATTTCCATACTAATTCTCACCCTTTTTACCACAGGGTTGGCACTAGAAGCTTTCTTGGGGCCCATGGTCACTTATTTTCCAGAAACAGCACCGAAAACACTGTAATAATACGAAATATTCCGAGTGTATGCTTGGATGTTACCGCGGAGGCTGGCTGGTAAACAATGGCACGGGCGGCACATGTGAGGCTGGCTGAGGGCGCACATTGGACGCGTCTCGGACGAAAATCGGTGAGCGGGTTTTTAATCGGTATGCGCGGCAAAAATTTTGCGATTAAAGTAAGCGGTATGCGGAATAATCGCTATGTGATGCCATCGTTATGCGGGGGTCCACTGTATATATGTGTCAATGATGATGAAAAGTGTTTCTTTCTTTTTTGGGTCACCCTGCATTGGTGAGAGATGGCCGACGTGTTAAAAAAAAAAATATGTTGTTGGCTAGTTTTGCTAGCTACTTTCTCTTAATTCAAATGTAGTTTGCCATTATGTAAAATTGGGGAAATTTATTTTTGTTGCTTCCCCCAAAAGGATTTGGTGCCATATACCTATGACATTTTTTCCTCACCATGATAAAGTATTGCTTTATGAAAAACGTAATAAGTAAATCTAAAATATCTTGCCCATTTCTTTAAGAGTATAGAGGAAAGATTGCCAATGATAACATAGGAATAGATCTAGAATGGTTATTTACTCTTCCAACAAGAAAGTTGTTCATCATTATGGCCACAGTAAAAATAATATTAGAGTTCCTTGCAAAACATCTACAGCAGTCAAGTTTCATCAGTATCAGTAGTAAGATCACTACACTAGGAGTGCATACAATACCCTGGACAGTGTATGTGGGAGAAATTTCTAGATTCATGGTGTGAGGCCCAACATGAACAATGCTTGCGTTATATGCAGAGACTGTATACAATACCCAGTGAATTTGAAGAATGCAAAACTTTTCACCAAGGAAGAAAAGAATAATTGGAAGCACACAGAAGTGGCAAGCATTCAACAGAACTGGGAAAGCCTCAGCATTTTATCACCTTTGCTAAACTAGTCACAAATTGTGAAGAGTATAAATTCTCTTATTCTTCTTCTTTCAACACACTGGCTGTATTCCACCGAGGCGGGGCGGCCCAAAAGGTAAAATGATAGTTTCTCATTTTCTTTCTTTCAACACACCGGCCGTATCCCACCGAGGCGGGGTGGCCCAAAAGGAAAAATGAAAGTTTCTCCTTTTACATTTAGTAATATATACAGGAGAAGGGGTTACTAGCCCTTTGCTCCTGGCATTTTAGTTGCTTCTTACGACATGCACAGCTTACAGAGGAAGAATTCTGTTCCACTGCCTCATGGAGATAAGTGTAAATAAACAAGAACAAGAGCTAGTAAGAAAAATAGAAGAAAACCCAAAAGAGTGTGTATATATACGTTTGTACATGCATGTGTAGTGTGACCTAAATGTAAGTAGAAGTAGCAAGACATAACTGAAATCTTGCATGTTTATGAGACAAAAAAGACACCAGCAATCCTACCATCTTGTAAAACAATTACAGGCTTTCATTTTACACTCGCTTGGCAGGACGGTAGTATATATTTTTTTTTATTAACACACTGGCTGATTCCCACCAAGGCAGGGTGGCCCGAAAAGGAAAAACTTTCACCATCATTCACTCCATCACTGTCTTGCCAGAAGGGTGTTTTACACTACAGTTTTTAAACTGCAACATTAACACCCCTCCTTCAGAGTGTAGGCACTGTACTTCCCATCTCCAGGACTCAAGTCCGGCCTGCCGGTTTCCCTGAACCCCTTCATAAATGTTACTTTGCTCACACTCCAACAGCACGTCAAGTATTAAAAGCCATTTGTCTCTATTCACTCCTATCAAACACGCTCACACATGCCCGCTGGAAGTCCAAGCCCCTCGTACACAAAACCTCCTTTACCCCCTCCCTCCAACCTTTCCTAGGCTGACCCCTACCCCGCCTTCCTTCCGCTACAGACTGATACACTCTTGAAGTCATTCTGTTTCGCTCCATTCTCTCTACATGTCCGAACCACCTCAACAACAACGGTAGTATTCTTTCTTATTCTCTCATATATTCCTTGGTCTTTGTGAATTGGCCTCACCCTGACATTTCCACCTTTCCATTCATTAACATCTGGCTCTGTATATCTCTAATGAAACCTTGACAGAGAAAAATTCATTTCTATGTCTATTCCTTACATTAACCCTGAATCAGGGTCCAAAGGCCAAATTTCAAAGTGTGCACCAGTGTCCAAGAATTTTCAAAAAATGATTTTGTTATTTTTTCTTATGAAATGGTAGAGAATCTTTTTTTGAAGGTAATAAAACAGAAAGTACGAAATTTTATGGAAAATTGACGAAATTATGCTATCGCGAATTTTGATGTGATGGCGATATTTACGCATCGGCGAGCTTGCTGACTTTGACTCCCATTTTAGGCCAATTATTTTACTCCAGTCGACCAAATTCTTAGCTATTTCACTAGTATTACTTCTATTCTATCGATTGAGCACAAAAAATTACCAAGTCAGCTGTTTCAACTACAAAATAAAGTGATCGGAAATTGGTAATTTGGCCAATTTAATGCAAAGTTCAAAATATTCTAATTTCAAAATAGGGTCCAGAATAAATAATGCAGGCATTTCTGGCACTAAACTAACATTTCCCCTGTTCATTAGTTACATTTTCAGGCTTTACAAATGAATTCCATTTTGATTTTTTGTTCACATAATGAATTTTTATTCAAACCAAAAAAATAGAAGATTTACTGTTATGCAATACTGTAATAATTGTATAAATAATATCATCACATTTGTGAAAGTATATTAGACCCACCAGCTGGCGTGTATTAGATGTGTGGGATAATTTGTTTACTCTTGAACATTGGCAAAAATTTAACATTTCTGCTATTTTGAGCTCAGTTTCAAGCCATTTCCATTACTAAAACCAATCAAAATCATCTCTATTTCTGTAATATATCTTCCATTCTATCAAATGAGACCAAGAAATCGCAAATACAACTATAAAAAAAACATACGAAAAAACACTGCAAAGTCGCTGTTTTAATAAAAAATTACAGTCTCAGTTTTTTCTCTCATTATGCACTGTTTGCTGCTGGATTTGTTTTAGGTGGTGCACACATACCACATAGTTGTATTCTCTCATATCTTGGCCCAAATTTACCGCTCACAGATTATCAGAGTGAGCTGAGCTCATGGTGTAGATCTATGGTTTGGACCCTCAACGTATAGCCGTAGATCTACGGCACGGACCCTCAAAGAGTTAATGCCAGCACATTGTGCTCCTTTAACCAACATCAAGAAGGCATGTTGATGCTAATTAATGGCTCGATTCATGGGGATGGACCTACTCTCCTCTTCTTCCTGGAAACCTCATGAAGAGGGAGCTTGACTGCTGGAGTCTTCACCTTCCACACTGCCACTACCAGTCTTCCAACACCTCTGTCTATCTCATAATTATTATGTCCTCTTAATCAAAACTTTCAAAATAACAGATTTTTCACTGAAGCAGACTCTCCTTCCCTCCCTATTAATCTGTTTTATTGGATGTTAAATGTATATTGCATATTTGTTATAAGAAATTTAACTATGCATACCAATTCACTTGGAACTGCCCTAAACCCAAAAAGTTAGCCATTTTCATTCTCATCAAAGCCAGAGTTTTTGATTTATAGTAAGATTTGTTTAATATTTTTTATACTCCAAATTTATATCACGTATATATTTTTCCATTCTCCAAATTTTAATATTAATTATTATTTAATGTTAATTATTATATAATATTAATTATTATTTATATTATATTATTATATTTATATTATTATTATTATATTATTATTATTATTATTATTATTATTATTATTATTATTATTATTATATTATATTTATTTATATTATTTATATTATTTATAGGTTTATAGGTAGTAGGTTGGTAGACAGCAACCACCCAGGGAGGTACTACCGTCCTGCCAAGTGAGTGTAAAACAAAAGCCTGTAATTGTTTTACATGATGGTAGGATTGCTGGTGTCTTTTGTCTGTCTCATAAATATGCAAGATTACAGGTATGTCTTGCTACTTCTACTTACACTTAGGTCACACTACACATACATGTACACGTTTATTTATACACACTCATCTGAGCTTTCTTTGATTTTATCTTAATAATTCTTGGTCTTATTACTTTTCCTTTTATATCCATGGGGAAGTGGAATAAGAATCTTTCCTCCATAAGCCATGCATGTTGTAAAAGTCAACTAAAGTGCCGGGAACAATGGGCTAGTAACCCCCCTTTTCCAGTAAAGATTACTAAAAAGAATAAGAAGAAGAAAATTGTCAAAATGGGAAGTCTGAATATGCGTGGTTGTTGTGCAAATGATAAGAAAGAGATGATTGTGGATGTTATGAATGAGAAGAAGCTGGATGTCCTGGCTTTAAGTGAAACAAAGCTGAAGGGGGTGGGAGAGTTTCAGTGGAGAGAAATAAATGGGATTAGGTCGGGGGTTTCAAATAGAGTTAGAGCTAAAGAAGGAGTAGCAATAATGTTGAAGGATAAGCTATGGTAGGAAAAGAGGGACTTAAAATGTATTAATTCAAGGATTATGTGGAGTAAAATAAAGATTGGATGTGAAAAGTGGGTTATAGTAAGCGTGTATGCACCTGGAGAAGAGAGAAGTGTAGAGGAGAGAGAGAGATTCTGGGAAATGTTGAGTGAATGCATGGGGAGTTTTGAATCAAGTGTGAGAGTAATGGTGGTTGGGGATTTCAATGCTAAAGTGGGTAAAAATGTTATGGAGGGAGTAGTAGGTAAATTTGGGGTGCCAGGGGTAAATGTAAATGGGGAGCCTTTAATTGAGCTATGTGTAGAAAGAGATTTAGTAATAAGTAATATATATTTTATGAAAAAGAGGATAAATAAATATACAAGGTATGATGTAGCACGTAATGAAAGTAGTTTGTTAGATTATGTATTGGTGGATAAAAGGTTGATGGGTAGGCTCCAGGATGTACATGTTTATAGAGGGGCAACTGATATATCGGATCATAATTTAGTTGTAGCTACAGTTAGAGTAAGAGGTAGATGGGAAAAGAGGAAGGTGGCAACAACAAGTAAGAGGGAGGTGAAAGTGTATAAACTAAGGGAGGAGGAAGTTCGGGTGAGATATAAGCGACTATTGGCAGAAAGGTGGACTAGTGCAAAGATGAGTAGTGGGGGGGTTGAAGAGGGTTGGAATAGTTTTAAAAATGCAGTGTTAGAATGTGGGGCAGAAGTTTGTGGTTATAGGAGGGTGGGGGCAGGAGCAAAGAGGAGTGATTGGTGGAATGATGAAGTAAAGGGTGTGATAAAAGAGAAAAAGTTAGCTTATGAGAGGTTTTTACAAAGTAGAAGTGTTATAAGAAGAGCAGAGTATATGGAGAGTAAAAGAAAGGTGAAGAGAGTGGTGAGAGAGTGCAAAACAAGAGCAGATGATAGAGTGGGAGAGGCACTGACAAGAAATTTTAATGAAAATAAGAGAAAATTTTTGAGTGAGTTAAACAAGTTAAGAAAGTCTAGGGAAAGTATGGATTTGTCAGTTAAAAACAGAGTAGGGGAGTTAGTAGATGGGGAGAGGGAGGTATTAGGTAGATGGCGAGAATATTTTGAGGAACTTTTAAATGTTGAGGAAGAAAGGGAGGTGGTAATTTCATGCACTGGCCAGGGAGGTATACCATCTTTTAGGAGTGAAGAAGAGCAGAATGTAAGTGTGGGGGAGGTACGTGAGGCATTACATAGAATGAAAGGGGGTAAAGCAGCTGGAACTGATGGGATCATGACAGAAATGTTAAAAGCAGGGGGGATATAGTGTTGGAGTGGTTGGTACTTTTATTTAATAAATGTATGAAAGAGGGGAAGGTACCTAGGGATTGGCGGAGAGCATGTATAGTCCCTTTATATAAAGGGAAAGGGGACAAAAGAGATTGTAAAAATTATAGAGGAATAAGTTTACTGAGTATACCAGGAAAAGTGTACGGTAGGGTTATAATTGAAAGAATTAGAGGTAAGACAGAATGTAGGATTGCGGATGAGCAAGGAGGTTTCAGAGTGGGTAGGGGATGTGTAGATCAAGTGTTTACATTGAAGTATATATGTGAACAGTATTTAGATAAAGGTAGGGAAGTTTTTATTGCATTTATGGATTTAGAAAAGGCATATCATAGAGTGGATAGAGGAGCAATGTGGCAGATGTTGAAAGTATATGGAATAGGTGGTAAGTTACTAAATGCTGTAAAGAGTTTTTATGAGGATAGTGAGGCTCAGGTTGGGGTGTGTAGAAGAGAGGGAGACTACTTCCCGGTAAAATAGGTCTTAGACAGGGATGTGTAATGTCACCATGATTGTTTAATATATTTATAGATGGGGTTGTAAAAGAAGTAAATGCTAGGGTGTTCGGGAGAGGGGTGGGATTAAATTATGGGGAATCAAATTCAAAATGGGAATTGACACAGTTACTTTTTGCTGATGATACTGTGCTTATGGGAGATTCTAAAGAAAAATTGCAAAGGTTAGTGGATGAGTTTGGGAATGTGTGTAAAGGTAGAAAGTTGAAAGTGAACATAGAAAAGAGTAAGGTGATAAGGGTATCAAATGATTTAGATAAAGAAAAAATTGGATATCAAATTGGGGAGGAGGAGTATGGAAGAAGTGAATTTTTCAGATACTTGGGAGTTGACGTGTTGGCAGATGGATTTATGAAGGATGAGGTTAATCATAGAATTGATGAGGGAAAAAGGGTGAGTGGTGCGTTGAGGTATATGTGGAGTCAAAAAACGTTATCTATGGAGGCAAAGAAGGGAATGTATGAAAGTATAGTAGTACCAACACTCTTATATGGATGTGAAGCTTGGGTGGTAAATGCAGCAGCGAGGAGACGGTTGGAGGCAGTGGAGATGTCCTGTCTAAGGGCAATGTGTGGTGTAAATATTATGCAGAAAATTTGGAGTGTGGAAATTAGGAAAAGGTGTGGAGTTAATAAAAGTATTAGTCAGAGGGCAGAAGAGGGGTTGTTGAGGTGGTTTGGTCATTTAGAGAGAATGGATCAAAGTAGAATGACATGGAAAGCATATAAATCTATAGGGAAAGGAAGGTGGGGTAGGGGTCATCCTCGAAAGGGTTGGAGAGAGGGGGTAAAGGAGGTTTTGTGGGCGAGGGGCTTGGACTTCCAGCAAGCGTGCATGAGCGTGTTAGATAGGAGTGAATGGAGACGAATGGTACTTGGAACCTGACGATCTGTTGGAGTGTGAGCAGGGTAATATTTAGTGAAGGGATTCAGGGAAACCGGTTATTTTCATATAGTCGAACTTGAGTCCTGGAAATGGGAAGTACAATGCCTGCACTTTAAAGGAGGGGTTTGGGATATTGGCAGTTTGGAGGGATATGTTGTATCTTTATACGTATATGCTTCTAAACTGTTGTATTCTGAGCACCTCTGCAAAAACAGTGATAATGTGTGAGTGTGGTGAAAGTGTTGAATGATGATGAAAGTATTTTCTTTTTGGGGATTTTCTTTCTTTTTTGGGTCACCCTGCCTCGGTGGGAGATGGCCGACTTGTTGAAAAAAAAAAAAATTAATTATTATTTTGACTTATGTAAATCTTGCATTTTATTTTCTCAGAGATGGCCATGGTGGGAGACTGCGGCGGTTATTGCTGTCGTGGCAGTCCAGTTCTCGCATGTGGGCCCACCAGGTGTCTGTTGCAGGTGTGCAGTGCCAAAAGACTCAATTCTTGCAGACTGGAGATGCAAAATCTATTGTACATTCATCTCATGTTAGAGTTTCTGTAAAAAAGGAAATATCAGTGGATAGTTCAAGTAAAACCTTATCACCAGCAGTTAAGAATTTGAAGAATGCTCTCATAGAAAGTCCAGTATCATCTGGTAGCTCAGAGTTGTCAAGTGGAAAACACTGGCAGTTACCAAAAAAATATTTAGAGCTAAGGATTGTGAAAGTTGGTGGAAGGTTGCCAAGCAATGCTGCTGTTTGTCAATTAATTTGCAGTGACTCTAGCACAATGCAGACAGATATAAAACTGGAAAAAGATATAGGAAGTAACTTGGAGAAACAAGAAGGTAGATACAAAAGAAAATACGTTGTATTTTTTGCTCTACAAGAGCAAAACGTTGGCATCACACTGCATGTAAATGATGTGGCCAGAATTTATTCTCCATGGTAAGTATTACTTATACAGTGGTACCTTGACTTACGAGTGCCCCAACTTATGAGTTTTCCGAGTTACGAGCCGTCACTTGGTCGATTTTTTGCTTTGAGTTGCAAGCCAAAATCCGAGTTATGAGCGAGCTTCAGATACGCCGCCACTAATTGGCGAAGTATCTGAAGTCAAATCCAACTCTGTACCCAGATACTCCTCCCATCCCACATGCTCTTCCAAGATGTAACTGGAAGGATCATACTTCCACACTAATCCCAGATTGTAGTGAGGCACCTCATCCCTTGTTTGGCTCACGTATAAATCTGGGGAAGAGGTAACCTCCATTTCAACACTCAGAGTTTTTTCAGAAACATTAATTAAGGTGGGTGGAGTACTGATAGTGGTGGGTGGAGTAGTCATGGTAGTGGATGGAGTAGTCATGGTGGTGGGTGGAGTAGTCATGGTGGTGGGTGGAGTAGTCATGGTGGTGGATGGAGTAGTGATAATGGTGGGTGGAATAGTGAGGGTGGTGGGTGGAGTAGTGAGGGTGGTGGGTGTAGTAGAGATGGTGGTGGATGGAGTAGTGAAGGTGGGAGGAGTATACAATAATTCTTATTTATAAATACATTTTCTTATTTAAAAACTCATAACAAAAAAATGGGGTGGTTTTTGGGGGCTGGAACACATTAATGGCATTTTAATTAATTTCAATGAGGAAAATTGATTTGATATACGAGCAAATTGAGTTATGAGCTCAGTCACAGAACTAATTAAACTCGTAAGTCAAGGTACCACTGTACTTTGTTTAGAATATCTCACCATAAACACACATACAAATCTTCCTCAAATATCTAACAATTGCCAATCTTAGTCCTAATAGAAGGAAAAATTATTAAAATATTCCTCTGTAAAGTGAAATGGCATTTAAGGACAAGTTATACAAGTTCTTACTGCAGACAACAGTGACTAAGGTTAAGGTTTTTCTTGCATGTTCTTAACCCTTTGAGGGTCGGCAGGCCCTCTCCGAGACGCGTTCTCAGGGTTGGCCAAATTTAAAAAAAAAAAAAATTCTCTTATGAAAAGATAGAGAATCATCTGATCATAATGACACCAAAAGTTTGAAATTTGATGGGAAACTTACGGAATTATACTCTCGCGAAGTTAGCGGTCTCGGCATTGTTTACGCATTGGCGATTTTGCCCCCTTTGAGCCCCATTTTCGGCCAATTCCACTGTACTAGTCGACAAAAAACATGAATATTTCGCTAGAATTCCATTTTTTCTATCGAATGAGTGCAAGAAACCACCCATTTATCAATTTCAACTATCCAGTACAGTGGTTAAAATTTAGCAATTTTGCCAATTTCACACAAATTTCAAAACATGCCAATTTCTGAATAGGGTCCAGAATAAACAAGAAAGACATTCCTGGCACTAAAATGACATTTCCTCTGTTCATTAGTCACGTCTCAAGGCCCCTCTTACATTCTTTTGCTTTCCACTTTGAATTTTTATTCTCACAAAAAATAGAAGCTTTACTGTTATGCAGACTACTGCATTAGTGTAAAAAATGGTATAAATGATACTGGCACACTTGTGAAAGAATATTAGACTCACCAGTTGACGTGTATTGGACGCTTGGCATGATTTGTTTACTTTTGAACTTTGGTAAAAATCGAACATTTCTGCTACTTTGAGCTCAATTTCAAGGTACTTTTCATTGTAAAACCAGTCAAAATCATCCCAATTTCTGTAACATGTCTTCCATTCTATAAAATGAGACCAAGAAAACTAGAATACAACAATAAATACCATACGAAAATACAGTGCAAAGTCGCTGTTTTATTCCAAAAAAATGGCCGAAGTTTTTTTTTCCTCATTATGCACTGTGTGCTGCAGGATTTTTTTTATACTGTGCACACTGACCACATAGACCCATTCTTTCATATGTAGGCCTACCAGCTTTCTCCCACTGGATTTGAGGGCGCTATAATTTAGGCGTACTAGTACGTCAAAAACCCTGGATCGTAAGCCGTACTAGTACGGCCGAAACCCTCAAAGGGTTAAATAGTGCCTTTTCAACTCAGATGGATGCAAAGGGCAGGGTATGAGTTGGGATGCATAAAAAAGAAGAGCTAAAATGTAGGAATATAAAACCTGAAGAAAATACCGTTCTTCCATTCTTCAACAGCATTGATTCCTGAAGTGAGTAAGACTAGCTGATATACTGAACCTGAGATGAACAGTATAAAGAATGAAACAGCACTGGAGATTAATACTTAAATGAAGATATAATTTATTTTGTAATTAACACTTCTTTATATTATATGGGTATTTACCATTCGGTTTTCCACTAAGGTATGTGAATTTTACTGAATGACCCTTCGGGTATAGTACTTCTGTGAATATATTATATGCATTTCTGTATATAAAGCTTTACATACTAATCCTCAAAATCTGATAATCATTGATAAGCTTCATGTTGGTGCAACTGTCAAGAGTAATATTGTAGACCTTTTTACTTGAAGCTTGGAAGAATCAATTCTCTTTGTTGCATTAAGCATAGAATAGTTTTTTTGCTGTCTTAGTTTTTGCATACCCATTCAGTATCATTTAATTGGGATTGGTATACAGTATTATTAAAGTTGCCTCTGTGTGCTTCATTTTTGTTCATGATATGTTTTTTAACAGAACTGATAGCTTATTCAGTTTTGACATGAACCGCTGCAACTCTCTTAGCGATGTATTAATACATAATTATTATTATTACTACATAATTATATTTCAGGCATCAGCTAGATCTTCCAAGCCACAACATGCCTGTACTTTTTACCTCATACTTCATCATGCAGCAAAACCAACATATTAAAAGTGAGGAGCATAATATGAATGAGGTCAGTATTTTGGAAAATAATGTAAGTAGCGAAGGCAGTAACAAGACTTTGACAGCATTTCCCAGTAAATCAGGAATGAAGAAGAAGATAATCCTGACTACTTGGACCTGTTTATGTTCAAGAGGTTAGTCGCTTTTAATAGTGTTCTTAGGGTCTGATCTCATAGTGATTGTATTTTGTTTTAAAGTAATTTCACTTTGAAAATGTAGTGTCATTAATTATATATGTTGGCCTAAGTTTATTAGATTTTGATTAATTAATTTTTATTTTTCATTTAATATTTCACAGATGGAACCGTGTTGCCATCAATGTGTGATGCTCAGCAGCACATGGCTCAGCTTCAGTATGTTCCCAAAGTCAACAGTAATCTTTCTCCTCTTCACCCTGGATTCACTATTGTAAATGATACTCCAGAAGAGAGAGACTTACAGGTAGTTTATTTTTTGACAGTAAAAAGTTTCATCTAATTCTGTATGTTGGTATATACAGTAGACCCTCAGCTAACGAACGCATCTCGTAACGTTAAATTCACCCAACGAAGCGTTTGAGCGTAAAAATTTTGGCCTGGGTAACGATAAAAAGCTCACCTAACGTGATTCGTCCCGAACCTGTCCGTCCAGCCTGAGCGCCTCAGCTGCCCTGCCGTCATTGTTTACAAGCCAGGGTGGCCGGTTTCATGCATACATTCGATACATTTTGTATTATTCCATTGTTTATAGTGCTTGTAACTGCTAAATAAGCTACCATGGGCCCAAAGAAAGCTTCTAGTGCCAACCCTGTGGTAAAAAGGGTGAGAAATACTATTGAAATACTATTGTACCATGGTCAGCTGCTGCTGCACTTCCGTCAACTGTTGCTGCACCACTGTCAGCTGTACTACTCGAAGATGTGGAGAGACTGTTGTTCGTGTGGCTTAATGAGAAACAATTAACCCCAGAGGGTTAGCCACCCAGGATAACCCAAGAAAGTCAGTGAGTCATCGAGGACTGTCTAACTTATTTCCATTGGGGTCTTTAATCTTGTCTCCCAGGATGCGACCCACACCAGTCGACTAACACCCAGGTGAACAGGAAATAATGCCTGGAACTAGTGCTCATATTGGTGAATTTAAGGCCAGCAAAGGTTGGTTTGAGAGATTTAAGAATCATAGTGGCTTACACAGTGTGATAAGGCATGGCAGAGCTGAAAAATTCCAACCCCAACAAGTGTTCAATTGTGACGAAACAGGCCTGTTCTGGAAGAAAATGCCAAACAGGACCTACATTACTCAGGAGGAAAAGGCACTCCCAGGACACAAGCCTATGAAAGACAGGCTAACTTTCTTGTTTTGTTGTAATGCTAGTGGGGATTGCAAAGTGAAGCCTTTACTCATGTATCATTCTGAAAATTCCAGTGTTCAAGAAAAACAGTGTCTCATCACTCATCAATACTCTTCAGTCAAGGTGTCATTTTAACATTTATTTATATAGTTATTGTGCATGTCTCATTGTTTTCTTTGTAGGGAACTGTATATTTCATGAATTTTTTTTTTTTTTTAATACTTTTGGCTGTCTAGAACGGATTAATTGGATTTCCATTATTTCTTACGGGGAAAATTAATTCGGCTAATGATAATTTCGTCTAACGATGAGCTCTCAGGAATGGATTAATATCGTTAGCCGAGGGTCCACTGTATATATATATATCTTCTTTCAACAAACTGGCTATATCCCACTGAAGCAGGGTGGCCCCCCCCCCCAAAAAAAAAAAAAAAAGTTTCTCTTTCAACTTTAGTAATGTATACAAGAGAAGGGGTTACTAGCCCCTTGCTCCCGGCATTTTAGTCGCCTCTTGTGACAAACATGGATCATAGAGGAAGTATTCTTCTCCATTTTCCCAAGGGGTATGCTGTTTTTTTCAACAACCCAGCTGTATACCACTGAGGCAGGGTGACCCAAAAAGAAAAATGAAAGTTTCTCTTTTTAAATTTAGTAATTTATACAGGAGAAGGGGTTACTAGCCCCTTGCTACTGACATTTTAGTTGCCTCTCACAACACACATGGCTTACGGAGAACTTCTGTTCCACTTCCCCATGGAGAATGAGTATACACACATATATATATAAAGGTAGGAAGGAGGGGGTAAAGGAGGTTTTGTGTGCAAGGGGTTTGGATATCCAGCAGGCATGTGTGAGCATATTAGATAGGAGTGAATGGAGGCAAATGGTTTTATGGCTTGATGTACTGTTGGAGTGTGAGCAATGTAACATTTATGCAGGGATTCAGGGAAACTGGTTAGCCAGACTTGAGATCCAGATATGGAAAGTACATTATGGAGGGGTTGGACCATTTGCAGTTTTGAACTGTAGTACTAGTGCCCCTTTGGCAAGACAGTGATGGAGTGAGTGATAGTGAAAGTTTCTTTTTTTGGGTCACTGTACCTCAGTGGGAGATGGCTAGTTTGGTAAAAAAAAAAAAACATACATATACATATGTACTGTACGTAATATTTCTATTGTTTTCTACTTAATTTAGTTTTCACTAATAAATAAAAAATGCCTCTGTACATATGTTCAAGTACTCTGAACTGGTTAAATCATTATAGTGTACCTTCATTCTAAGTTAGTTTCCAAGTTAAATATGGCTTTTCTTCTCTGAAAAACTAGCTAGGCAATTGCAGCTAATTCAGTATCATAGGATATTACACTGTACATTTAAAAATATGAAGGAAAACTCAAGATCTTACAAGCATTTTAGAATGAATACATATATACAAATAAACAATATCAACAGAATGAAGTTCATCCTGCCTGGACAATTTTGGAGGCTATAGAGAAATGTGGTGGAGTATCTGATGTGCCTGTAACCATCACTATTCGAGTGCATCGCATCATAACTCGCAGGTACAGTATTTATGGCTTCGTTGCTTATCTGTCTTTTGTTTAGAAAATTATTTTCCACTTGAAGCCTGCACATTCATAAAAGAATCCAAGTGAAATTTCTCTTTATTCATGAGATTACTTTTAATTTTATGATTTTAAGTTAAAATGAAAGGTGCATTTTTTTTTTTTTTTTTTTTGGATCATGGTGAACTATCACTAAACTAAGTCAGTCCACTAGTTATGATGTTAATGCATTCCTGAAAATCATTCAAGAGTCTAGTATTCAGAATTCAGAGACTATTTTCCTATGGACACCCATGTTCTAATCAAAAATGTGCTGCAAAGCCATGATATTCCATATATAATTTCATATTTTTAATAATAATAATAATAATATTACAGTGGACTCTTGTATTATGTGACCCCTGAAAATGTGAATTCAGCAGCACATGATTGGAAAACTGATTCAGTAATAGAAATTGCATTGAAAAGTCCACCAATGCATGTGCAATTATTAGTGATGTGCTCAAAAATGATGTACAAAATCCTAGTGGCTGTGTAGTAGGTAATTTTTTCCTTCATGTCAGCTTGGGCCTACTGAGATAGGCCATTGTTTTTAGAGAAGGCCCAGAAAATAATTTATATTTGAATATTTACAGCGACCATATCTGTAGATTGGTGTTCGGAAGCCAATAATTGGTCCCAAAGTACCCCGATTGTAAGTGTTATCATAAGTCAGATCATTATATGTATGTTGATGACCTACTGGATATACAGTATCGTAAATAATGAGTTATCTTGCCTCTTCAGGGGAAAAGAGGAATTTGATTTTCATCAATGTTGAATGATTACCTATTTTTTTATGGCAACACTGTTTTACACATTACATTTTCATATCTGTTTTAGGTGCTGGATTGAAGACTACCAGATAGTGATACAAGGCAGTAACCAATAGCTGGATAATTGATAATCTACTGCATATGTTTCTGATATCATATCGCCTTTGGAATTTTCTTCTGTACTTGAAGTTAATTATTTCATAAATTTTTATAGTTCATATACATTTTAAACCATAGTATATTACTATGAAATTATTAATCACATCCTGTATCAGTTGTCAGACACTAACAGTGGTGGGCACAGTTCCGCTAATCTGCTAATTAGTGGAACTGACATTTTGTTTAGCGGATTAACATTGCCGCTAACTTCGGAAACTGTTAGCGGACCAATTAGCTTCCACTAAATAAAGTTCCGTTAACTTTGAGTCCGCTAAAAAAAAATTCCTACATTGTTGGTATTCAGAAAGCAATGCCTTGTCAGTGGCGCACGTGTTTGTTCCTGTCTGTTGTGGGCATTTCTCCAACAGTCAGTCAGGCATGCTATTGGCTGACTATGTGTAAACGTGACTTGTCAACGCAGCAGCAGCAGAACGAGCACCATTGTTATAGTCTTACAGTGTCAGCGATCACAGGGGTGCATGTCACTTATCGTTATGAACAGGGGAGACGTTTCTGTTCCACCTGAGGGTGTTGTTGAGGAGTCTGCAGCGGCTGTGATTGAAGCATTAAGTACAACGCCGCCATCCCGTCTAGTGCTGCAGTTGAGTGCCAAGAGAGCCACCCTGTCAGATGGAAACTTTGAGAGGCTGATGGTTATGAAGGGCAACCAGCATCACATCAAAGTGATGGAGAAGGCCCAGCCAGAGTAGTAATCAGCCCAGCAATCATCTGATCTTGGCATAATACCTATGCAATGCATTTTGTACAGTAAATAAAGTGTATGTTGGATTTAAACTGATGTTTGATGGCATTTGTCCATTTAACTATTTATGTGCACCTGTATGGCTGTATCGCTGGTGCAGCGATAAGTTGGCCTGAGTTCAAACTCTAAATGAAGTTAAATGCCAACATGAACAGAAACAAAATAAAATAAACAAATACAGTGAAACTGGAACTAGTGAAGAAAACAGTCAAATAAGTTAACTCAATCTGTTCAGGGGCTATAGGGCTTCAGTACAATGACAAGTATATCAAGTGTGTCCATGTCGGTCACTCATGTTAAATCACAAAATTCAACAATCGCTATTTTCGCACTAGCGGCACTTGATCATCATATGACCTTGGCATTCTATATCTTGTTAGGAAGCTCTCCAGGTCTGTTCTAAAAATCTTAAAAGTAAGAGTAAAAGACTAAAAAACTAAACTGAATCTGAATTCATGTGAAAAGTTAGCGTTTAGCATTAGCTTCCGCTAATTTTTTGGGCCGTTTAGCAGTTTAGCATTAGCGGAGCTAATTTTTTAGTTAGTGGATTAGTGGTTAGCGAAACTAACTTTTCGGTTAGCTGTGCCCACCACTGAACACTAACGAGTGACAGCTAAGAATACAAACTACCTTCATCAACGCTTACATTCAAGTATGTAGCACGTTCACAAGAGATCCCTCCTCCCAGTGGTAACGGGCTTGCAGTGATGATTAATATATCTCAAAATGGACCAAGACACTCATACTTCTTGCATATGACTCTTCAGGATGCATATTTGTTATCAACACTGAAAATATTTCCCTGACACTAAGTCACTTTAACAGGGTGGCAGGGTTTGGACAGGTTGTGCCTAGATGTAGGGACTTCTTCTCTGGGGGGATGCCAATTTCCTCACTGGGTACTTTCCTGACTAAAAACTAAGCATCTACTTCAGCATAAATAGTGCAGGAATATTTCTTTTTCATCTAAGTATGCTGAGACTTATGACCATTAACATGAAGAGAATTGTGAAAATGGATTTTGGAATATGAAAAATTTACTTTAAATTGTTTTACTTCCTTTGTGATTATGATATCCGTAATATGTAAAGTGCATTGATTGTGATAGTAACAAGTTGGTAATGACAGCATAAATTTAATATTAGAAACATGTTTAATGTGCTGTATACACTAAATGATTGTAGTGCTATGTAAATAAAACAAAACAACTAGGAAAATATCTTGCAAAATAAATTAGTACAGTAGGGCCCCACTTATATGGCAGGTTAGGTTCCAGGCTACTGCTGGAAAGCAGAACACCATTTTTTCCACTTATAAATGTATATAAATGCCAGATGACAAATTTACACTAACATTAAGTTAGCAATAGAACTTAGGCATTAAAAAACAATAAAAAGTAAAATACACACACAGTACACTCATTATTTACCTCAAAATATTCGTAGTCTTAATGTAGGGCAAAAGATGAGTAGCATTTACCATAAGTTAGGTGTGGTAGCCCTCCTAGCCACCCCCACCCACACATAATATACTACGATGATGCTTAAATATAGTGATAAAATGCATATACAGTACACTCACTACTTACCTTAAAATATTTGTAGTCTTAATGTAGGGTGAAAGGTGAAAAGTATTTATTTGTAGAAAGTGGTGTGGTAGGTAGGGTAGTGTAGGGAAGCCAACCTGGCCACCCCACCCACTATGTAAACAAACAGACGATGCGTCTGGTTGTGGTTCATAAACATTAAACACCTTACATTGTGTACAAGTTGTCTCCACAGTGATACAGTAGAATAAATAAAGACCAACACTTCCATTCTCATGTAATTTTTAGAAGGAATGATGCTCTGACAAATTATTCTTATTATTATTACAAATTATTATTACAAATTATTATTGCAAGTTATTATTATAATCATAATAAAAAGAAGCACTAAACCTACATGGGTCATGAATTGCTATATATAGAGTGAAGGCACACGAAAGGAATATTTATCTACAGTTATCCCCCAGTGTTTGACTAGAGAAAACACAATTCTTCCGACACTCCTATAGAGCCGTTTTGTAAACAAATCTTATATTTATGTCAATTTTTATTCTGTGGGTGTATGCATAATGTTTATATGCTATGTAACGTGCTTCTTATATAATTTTGAAGAAAATATCGTAGATGGATTAATGAAAATGTCTTTATTAACGTAAAATAAGACATTTACTGTGCCCAGGAGATTATTATTACGTAGTATTACTATGGCATCATGAGTAGAGAGACTCTTAGTGATTTTAATGTGTACCTACATGCCAGCATAATGTGTAAGTATATTTAGGTACAGGTACACATAAGCATAATTATCAGAGTACATATAAAATACTAGGTAGTAGGTTAGTAGACAGCAACCGCCCAGGGAGGTACTACCGTCCTGCCAAGTGAGTGTAAAACGAAAGCCTGTAATTGTTTTACATGATGGTAGGATTGCTGGTGTCCTTTTTTTTCTGTCTCATAAACATGCAAGATTTCAGGTACGTCTTGCTACTTCTATTTACACTTAAGTCACACTACACTGCATGTACAAGCATATATATGTATATATACACATCCCTCTGGGTTTTCTTCTATTTTCTTTCTAGTTCTTGTTGTTGTTTATTTCCTCTTATCTCCATGGGGAAGTGGAACAGAATTCTTCCTCCGTAAGCCATGCGTGTCGTAAGAGGCGACTAAAATGCCGGGAGCAAGGGGCTAGTAACCCCTTCTCCCATATAAATTACTAAATTTAAAAAGAGAAACTTTCGTTTTTCTTTTTGGGCCACCCTGCCTTGGTGGGATACGGCCGGTTTGTTGAAAAAAAAAAAAAAAAAAAAAAAAAAAACATATAAAATACGCAATAACTTTAAAACACTTGAAATTTTGGAAAGTTTCCAGACATAATAGATGTGCTCACAAAGAATGTAAACAAACCCAGTGGGGCGCGCCGTATTTGAAAGACCACTTGCCGTATAGCAAATTTTGGTCATAATTTGAAATTGCAGTATTAGCGGAATGCCGTAAGGCGAAACACCATAAAGCGAGGCCCTACTGTATATAAATTTTCATGAAGGTCATGATATGAAAATAAGATAGAAAGATGTAGATAAGGGGGAACAAAATAACATGAAAAATCCAATATGGATATGCTTGTATCAGTGCCTCTTATATAAAATGTTTGCTTTTCCTCTCATTATGAGTACTTGAAATCAGGTAGAAAAATAGTTGGAATTTAGTGGGTTTCTTAGAAAATTCTGTATCAACCTTGTATTATGTTACCCCATTACAGCTGTTACTATTTCATCACATCTCATGTATTTATGTATTCACATCAGCCTCAATATTTAAGCATATTTTTGCATAGTTTGTTTGCTATATTAGGTTATTTATAATTAATAATTAGTTATGTTATATTACAGAAAATCTGCAGATGTGGTGAAAGAATGGGAATTAGTTGGCCAAGATGCTGCTGGAGTGTTTTGCACAGTTAAAATCCCAAATTGTCCCCTTGCCTCTCAGTTGACTGAATTGCTGGAAAGAGGAGAAGGCAGCACACATACAGTAACACAAGTCACCATACAACAACGTCTTACCAATACTCAGTAAGTTAAGAGGACGTAAGGAAAAGTATAGACTACTGGAAATTTTTCTTTCAACAGTCTAGCCGTATCCCACCAAGGCAGGGTGGCCCAAAAAGAGAAACTAAAGTTTCTCTTTTTAAATTTAGTAATATATACAGGAGAAGGGGTTACTAGCCCCTTGCTCCCAGCATTTTATTCGCCTCTTACGACATGCATGGTTTATGGAGGAAGAATTCTGTTCCACTTCCCTGTGGAGAACTACTGAAAATATCAAATTTAAACAAAATTTCATAAAGGGATAGATATCAGTTGGAGTACATGTAGGAGAAATGTAGCATGCACTGCATTCTTTTCCCTCTTGTTTCACAGCAGTGAGCCTCAGGGCAAGTTTTTGTCTTATGAGTGAGTTCTATGTAATGTTCACAACCTTCCTTACCAGTGCTGTGTGCACAGCCAGTACTATACTCGGCTTGTGTTAGTTAATTGACTATTGATCTTTTTATCATCCCATCTCATTTCTGGATAGTTACATTGGCACCAAAAAGAATGTGACTGACCCTAGAACTACAGAGAAGAAGCATATGCATGAAATTCTTGGTGTTTCAAAGAAAATCAAGATGTGATGGAGATGGCATGAGCCTTTGGCCTGAATGAGGCATCAGTATGCACAATTAAGAAGAGTGAGGGAAAGATACGAGCTTGTGCAGTGAGTACCTCAGGTTATGGCCACCTGAAAAGAATGGCAAATATATATACTCCCACCCCTCACAACTCCCTCATAGCCACACACCTTCACCCACACCATTCCATCCAGTAGCCTCCACCCACACAACTTGCCCATACAGTTTCTCAGCACAGCCACATGCCTACACCTACACCATTCCCCCATTACCTCATGACCATACCTTGCCCATCCCCATGCTCTCACCCACACCATTTTCCCAAGACCTGATGCCCACACCTTACTCAACTTTTCACCTTAACACGCCATCCACATATCTAATCACTTAGTCATTCATCATTCTTGTTACTGCCATGGCCAATGACACTGCCACCCACACATTCACCATCACACCACCTCAATGCTTCCAGCCTTCACCCCCCCCACACCCCTCCACTGGCCAGTACTTGCCAGCTCCTGCCCCCCACCCATCTTCCACTTGGTTCATCACCCCCACATCAAATCCTCAAACCTCAACTACTCTAACCCCTCCTGCCTAATCTCTTCCATGTACACCCCAACCACTCTAACTCCACATTTATAACCTACATACAGTTGCAATGATTGGGACAGCGGAACAAAAAGGCACTATCTGCTAACTGAGATGTGTATGTAGGATCTTTGATTGACAAACATTGCCACATCGACCTACATTTATTTTTTATTTTTTTTTCAACAAGTCGGCCATCTCCCACCGAGGCAGGATGACCCAAAAAGAAAGAAAATCCCCAAAAAGAAAATACTTTCATCATCATTCAACATTTTCACCTCACTCATACACAATCACTGTCTTTGCAGAAGTCAATATCAATATCAATCAAGTTTATTCTCTATAAGGATTACAATGCTGAGTTTACAGAATTTGGTTATTGTGTGGTTTACATGTAGTAAAATACTAATTACAGAAGGGGCCACTAGAACACAGATACAACAGTTTAGAAGCATATATAAAGATATATAACATATCCCAAACCCCTCCTTTAAAGTGCAGGCATTGGACTTCCTATTTCCAGTACTCAAGTCTGGCTATATAAAAATAACTAGTTTTCCTGAATCCCTTCACTAAATATGCTCACACTCCAACAGCTCGTCAGGTCCTAAAAACCATTTGTCTCCATTCACTCCTATCTAACATGCTCACACACGCTTGCCGGAAGTTCAAGCCCCTCACCCACAAAACCTCCTTTACCCCCTCCCTCCAACCTTTTCGAGGATGACCCCTACCCCGCTTTCCTTCCTCTACAGATTTATACACTCTCCATGTCATTCTGCCTTGATCCACTCTCTCTAAATGACCAAACCACCTCTACAACCCCTCTTCAGCCCTCTGACTAATACTTTTATTAACTCCACACCTTCTCCTAATTTCCACACTATGAATTCTCTGCAAGAATTCGTAGTTTGGAAGTTAGGAGGAGGTGCGGGATTGCCAAAACTGTTGTCCAGAGGGCTGAGGAAGGGTTGTTGAGGTGGTTTGGACATGTAGAGAGAATGGAGCGAAACAGAATGATTTCAAGAGTGTATCAGTCTGTAGCGGAAGGAAGGCAGGGTAAGGGTCGGCCTAGGAAAGGTTGGAGGGAGGGGGTGAAGGAGGTTTTGTGTGCGAGGGGCTTGGACTTCCAGCAGGCATGCGTGAGCATGTTTGATAAGAGTGAATGGAGACAAATGGTTTTTAATACTTGACGTGCTGTTGGAGTGTGAGCAAAGTAACATTTATGAAGGGATTCAGGGAAACCGGCAGGGCGGACTTGAGTCCTGGAGATGGGAGGTACAGTGCCTGCACTCTGAAGGAGGGGTGTTAATGTTGCAGTTTAAAAACTGTAGTGTAAAACACCCTTCTGGCAAGACTGATGGAGTGAATGATGGTGAAAGTTTTTCTTTTTTGGGCCACCCTGCCTTGGTGGGAATCGGCCAGTGTGTTAATAAAAAAATAAAAAAAAGAATTCTCTGCATAATATTTACACCACACATTGCCCTTAGACAGGACATCTCCACTGCCTCCAACCGCCTCCTCGCTGCAACATTTACAACCCATGCTTCACACTCATATAAGAGTGTTAGTACCACTATATGCTCATACATTCCCTACTTTGTCTCCATGAATAACATTGTCTCCACAGATACCTCAATGCAACACTCACCTTTTTTCCTTCATCAATTCTGTGGTTACCCTCATCCCTCATAAACCCATCTGCTGACATGTCAACTCCCAGTTATCTGAAAACATTCACCTCTTCCATACTCCCTCTCTCCAATGTGATATCCAGTTTTTCTTTATCTAAATCGTTTGAGACCCTCATCACCTTACCCTTATCTATGTTCACTTTCAACTTTCTACCTTTACACACCCTCCCAAACTCGTCCACTAACCTTTGCAACTTTTCTTTAGAATCTCTCATAAGCACAGTATCATCAGCAGAAAATAACTGTGTCAACTCCCATTTTGTACTTGATTCCCCATAATTTAAACTCACCCCTTTCCCAACACCCTAGCATTTATCTCCTTCACAACCCCATCTATAAATATATTAAACAACCATGGTGACACTACAAATTCATGTCTAAGACCTACTTTTACCAGGAAGTAATCTCCCTCTCTCCTGCACACCCTAACCTGAGCCTCACTATTCTCATAAAAACTCTTTACAACATTTAGTAACTTACTACATCTGCCACATTGCTTCCCTATCCACTCTATCATATGCCTTTTCTAAATCCATAAATGCAATGAAAACCTCCCTACCTTTATCTAAATACTGTTCACATATATGCTTCAAAGTAAAACGCTATCTACACATCCTCTACCCACCCTAAAGCCTCCTTGCTCACCTGCAATCCTACTGTCTTACCTCTAATTCTCTCAATAATAACCCTACTGTACACTTTTCCTGGTATACTTAATAAACTTATTCCCCTATAATTTTTACAATCTCTTTTGTCCCCCTTCCCTTTATATAAAGGAACTATACATTGCTCTCTGCCAATCCCTAGGTATCATCCCTCTTTCGTACATTTTTTTTTTTCTTTCTCAACAAGTCGGCCGTCTCCCACCGAGGCAGGGTGACCCAAAAAGAAAGAAAATCCCCAAAAAGAAAATACTTTCATCATCATTCAACACTTTCACCTCACTCACACATAATCACTGTTTTTGCAGAGGTGCCCAGAACACAACAGTTTAGAAGCATATATGTATAAAGATACACAACATACCCCTCCAAACTGCCAATATCCCGAAACCCCTCCATTAGAGTGCAGGCATTGTACTTCCCATTTCCAGAACTCAAGTCCGGCTATATAAAATAACTGGTTTCCCTGAATCCCTTCACTAAATATTACCCTGCTCACACTCCAACATTTATTAAACAAAAATAACAACCACTCCAACACTATATTCCCCCCTGCTATTAACATTTCTGTCGTGACCCCATCAGTTCCAGCTGCTTTACCCCCTTTCATTCCTTGTAATGCTTCGTGCACCTTCCCCACACTCACATCCTTCTCTTCTTCACTCCTAAAAGATGTTATACCTCTTTGGCCAGTGCAATTTCGAGACCTATACAAATCTTGTTTGGCTTACTTTGGTGTTTAGTGAATGTAACCCTAATTTTCCCTACGTTCTTCAGTTCAGTTTACATTTTTTATTACACTTGCTTTTCAGGAACTTTACTACTGTGTTACCCGACTTTCAACTGTATAATAATACAAATTGGGAATATGTTATTTGTACAAATACTATACCAAGTGTAGGAAGAGGTAAAAATCTTAAGAAATGATACTATGTAATGTAACTGATAAGATGACCAGATTGTGTTGACAAAATATTACTCATCATTTAAGAATATATTAAGTTTAAACCAAAAATCAATATATCATGCTATTTCCAGGAATCCCAGCTTGTTCTCTCTGATATCATCATTGCATAAAGCGTACCAGACAGAAGTACGCAGTGATCCTCTTCTGTACCCGCTTTTACATGCCCAAGCTTCCCGCCCATCTCAAACGTACTGCTATGTGTTTACTGTCCAACTGGGGCTAACTGAACTTTTGCATAGCGGAAATGAAGTAGTTATGCCAATTTTACTACCTCATTGGTCATTAAATGAGACATTGCAGGTTGGTGTTTTGTCATTAGTAATGTTTGAAGGTAAAAAAATATGCAGAACTAGACTATTTAATTTCGATCTTTTGTGGGACTTCGCTACAACAAAGTACAGTATGTTGACAGAAAAATAGAAAATATCTAACATTATGCAGTTATTTAAAACAGATGATAGGGAAGGCCTTTAGCCATAAGCCTGGCTTTGACAGGTTTTTAATGGATGTTTTATCCATTAAAGAAAATGAATAAAACATCCAGAGCAGACATCTACTACTGTTTCGAACAGTTTGCATTCATATGCCCTTGAATTATAATTTTAAACTGATGATTACACATGTAATGGATATAAATTTAAAATACAGTAATGCACTCTTACTGTTTTGTTTATAAATTAAAGACAAGAAAATTTTTGCAGGTTGCTTGTGATGGTCAACGTGGCAGCTTGAGTCTTCACATCCTTTACAAATTGTTTTCATTTCTTTATGTTGTGAACAAATCTATAAAAACTGAGAATAACGATGATTCTATAACAATCCATGAGAATAAAGAACTAAGTAATAGTGATAACATTAAATATGATTTTGATAAAGAAAGACTTTTAGTTAAAAAGATAGTGGTCAGTGATGGAACTACACTGCCAGCATGGATACCAGAAAGTGGCACTGTGATGAAGAGTGCTTTGTTGAAAGATGTTGTTATTTGCAATGGTAAGTGTAGAGATGAGAAAGGTGTTTGTATAGAGGAGAATATAAAAATTAGAAAATAGTATATTCTATATACAGTAGGGCCCCACTTATATGGCAGGTTAGGTTCCAGGCTACTGCTGGAAAGCAGACTTCGCCGGAAAGCAGAACGCCAATTTTTTCCACTTATAAATGTATATAAATGTCAGATGACAAGTTTACACTAACATACATTAAGTTAGCAATAGAACTTAGGCATTAAAAAACAATAAAAAGTAAAATACACACACAGTACACTCGTTATTTACCTCAAAATATTCGTAGTAATGTAGGGCAAATGGTGAGTAGCATTTACCATAAAAAGTTAGGTGTGGTAGCCCTCCTGGCCACCCCCACCCACACATAATATACTACAACAATGCTTAAATAGAGTGATAAAATGCATATACAGTACACTCATTACTTACCTTAAAATATTTGTAGTATTAATGTAGGGTGAAAGGTGAAAAATATCTATTTGTAGAAAGTGGTGTGGTAGGTAGGGTAGTGTAGGGAAGCCAGCCTGGCCACCCCACCCACTATGTAAACAAACAGACGATACATCTGGTTGTGGTTCATAAACATTCATACAAACACCTTACATTGTGTACAAGTTGTCTCCACAGCAGTACAGTAGAATAAACAAAGACCAACACTTCCATTCTCATGTAATTTTTAGAAGGAATGATGCTCTGACAAATTATTATTACAAATTATTACTAAAAATTATTATTACAAATTATTATTGCAAATTATTATAATCATAATAAAAAAGAAGCACTAAACCCACAAGGGTCATGAATTGCTATGTATAGAGTGAAGGCATACTAAAGGAATATTTATCTACAGTTATTCCCCAGTGTTTGACTAGAGAAAACGTAATTCTTCCGACACTCCTACAAAGCCGCTTTGTAAACAAATCTCATATTTATGTCAATTTTTATTCTGTGGGTGTATGTATAATGTTTATATGCTATGTAACATGCTTCTTATATAATTTTGAAGAAAATATCATAGATGGATTAATGAAAATATCTTTATTAACATAAAATAAGACATTTAATATGCCCAAGAGAGATTATTATTACATAATATTACTATGGCGTCATGAGTAGAGAGACTCTTAGTGATTTTAACGTGTACCTACATGCCAGCACAGTGTAAGTATATTTAGGTACAGGTACACATAAGCATAATTATCAGAGTACATATAAAATACGCAATAACTTTAAAACACTTGAAATTTTGGAAAGTTTCCAGACATAATAGATGTGCTCACGAAGAATGTAAACAAACCAGGTGGGGCGCACCGTATTTGAAAGACCACTTGCCATATAGCAAATTTTGGTCATAATTTGAAATTGCAGTATTAGCAGAACGCCATAAGGCGAAACGCCATAAAGCGGGACCCTACTGTACTGTATATTCTTCTTCTTTCTTTCAACACACCGGCCGTATCCCACCGAGGCGGGGTGGCCCAAAAGGAAAAACGAAAGTTTCTCCTTTTACATTTAGTAATATATACAGGAGAAGAGGTTACTAGCCCCCTGCTCCTGGCATTTTAGTCGCCTCTTACAACACGCATGGCTTACGGAGGAAGAATTCTGTTCCACTTCCCCATGGAAAGAATTATGAAAAAAAATAAAGGATAATATAAAATAGAGTAGGTTAATTGTTTGCTGGGTTTTGTCACACTCCCTTTTCTTCCCTGGCCAGCAAAATACAATAATGTATAATATATTTATTTTAAATTTAACAGTAATTGGCATTCATATTTATCTTAATTTACTCTTGGCAAGTGCAGTTAAAATACATTAATAATAATATTCAGATGACAGGTTAGATTCATGCAAGATACATTTTTCAAGAAGTCTCAGTTTTCTAAGACAAAAAAATATTTTGCAGGGTGTGTGATGATGGATGAATATAGCTTGCTGCAGCAACAGGAGACTAGTATGATGCTAAGCTTATCAGCTTTACACAAGATCATTAAGCCTTTATCTTTTCAAACTCAGCGTTATGACCTCTCTCTCATCTCAGGTCAGTTTTCAAGATTTATTTTAATATTTATTTTCAATAAATCCATAAATTACATGTCTTCAACTCAAAACAAATAGTAGTTTGGTAGATAGCTACTAATACTACTAAGGGTCTCTGAGATGTTTACAAGCATAGTCCCTATTATAGAGAAGTTGTTAAACTTATTCACATTATCAGTAGCTGAGAAGAAGGGTTCTATTACTTTAAGGAGAAATATTTGTTTTGTTAAAGATTTGACGCTAGAGTTTAGGAAAGGGTTTTCAATGTTTTTTAATACCCCCCCTTATGAGTCATTAAATTCATTAAAATAATTTTATGGTGGTTTATTGTGATGATTGGCTCCGGAAATGTCACAACTGCTAATACTATTTCCTTGGAGAGAAATAAAAGTCTATACTTCTTTTCATTATTATGTTTCTTATCGCTTGATCTGAGCAAGCCTTTTGTAGTGATTTTTTGGGATTTTGTGGGCAGGGCACATCGAGGAAGCTTTCTACTCCAGAATTTATATTATACTTGAAACTTTGCTTTCTTTTCCAATATATATATATTTCATGTCATTTGTAAATTTGTTTACTGAAGCATCATTATGGAATAAAAAAAAATGTTTGGGTGTTTTGAGTGAGATTTTTGAGTAGTTAATGATAAGAAAAGAAGGTTAATAGTCAGTTGTTCTGTCAGTGATTATACCTAAATTTAGAGATGATGATGATGACACTGGCCTAGATATGATCTAGAATTGACAATGTTTCTGAGATTGTAGTGGGTTTGTCAATTTAGAATTTTTTTTTTTTTAAACTGGCTGTCTCCCACTGAGCTAGGGTGTTCCAAGATTATAAAAGAAATATATAACAATCATTCATGCAATGGCTGTCTTGCCAGAAGTGCACAGACATAATTCAAATGACCTTCTTAACTGCAACATCCCCACCCCTCCTTCAGAGTGAAGTCACTGTACTTTCCACCTCCAGGACTCTAAGAACTGCTAACTGGTTTTCCCTGAATCCCTTCATAAATGTTATCTTGCTTGTATTCCGACAGCAAGTCAAACCATATAAACTACTTGTCTCCATCCACTCCAGTTTAACACTCTCACACATACCTGCTGGGTGCTCAAGCCCATAGCACTCAAAACCTTCTTTACCCCCTTCCTCAAATCCCTCCTGGGACCCCTATTTCCATCCACCCCAGATTCATACACCCTCTTTTTCTGTTCCATTCTTTCTATATGCCCAAGCAACCTCAAGAACTCTCTCCTCAGCCCTCTGAATTGTTCTTTTAGTATTCCCATACCATTTTTCTAATTTCCAAGCTCTGAATTCACTGCACATCACACTGCACATCGTCCTCAAACATGACATGTTCATTGCCTCCAGCCTCCTCTTCATTGCAATGTTTAAAGCCCATCCTTCACACCTATGAAGTGTTGGTACCACTATGGTACAGTCCCCTTTTTTGCCTCCATAGATAAGGTTCTTATTACAAATACTACTCCTCACCACCTACATATTTTTCCCCTAATATATTGTGTGGTTCACTTTTTCTTTCATAGACCCATCTATCAACAAGTCCACTTCCAAATATCTGAATACAGTGGAACCTCTACTTGCGAGCATGTCCATGTGTGAGTTTTTCCAAATACGAGCAGTCGATGGGTTGATTTTTTGCTTCCATACGCGAGCAGCCCTCAAGGCAGGTTCCTTGACACTGGTGAGGGGCTCTTGCTCTTGATTTCGGGAATTGTATCTCATTTGTTTGTCGGACTATCTTATTGAAACTTGGGCAATGTATGATGGAAAGATGCTTCTTAACGTACACCAAAAATGAAAGAAACCTAAGCATAAATAATGGAGTTCACTTCTCAGCAATTACCCACCCCTTTGCGGTAATTTCGAATGGTTTTTATGGTTGTATTCCCGTTTTTTTGGTCTCATTTGATAGAATGGAAGATATATTACAGAAATAAATATAATTTTAATTGCTTTCACGACGAAAAGTACCTTGAAATAGAGCTCAACCTAGGAGAAATGGTCCATTGCTTGGCTGTTTCAGAGCAAACAAATGACATCACTGTCCATTCCAACATGCAGTTGTGAATGGGTTGACATTATTTATACAATTATTGCAATAAGGAATAACAGTAAATCTTACATTTTTTGTGTGAATAAAAATTACAAATTATTTATATAATAATAATATTTATAATAATAGTAGTATAATAATATAATACAATAATAATAATAATAATGTACTACATATAATAATTATAATAATAGATGGTTTCAAAAGGCTGTCACTAGATGGCAGTGTTTGCCACAACAAAGAGGGAGCAGTTCATTCATTCATTCATTCATGTTGATTCGCTAGTACTTCCGGCCCTGGTCTTCTCCATATGGTGACCCGGCAGTGGCTCCCCGGGTGGGGGGGTGACGATCATCTTCTTTCTTCTTTCTTGGGCCCTCCGGTTGAAGGGTGTCTTCTTCTTCTATCTTGCGCTGACTTCCCAGAAGGGAAGTGTCTTCTTGCTTCAGAAGCGCAGTCAGGCAGAGGCAGCAATTACAGGGTCAATTGGAGCCACACCCTAGCTTTAGCAGACAGCAAAGTGATGGGGAAACTTATCTTCATGGTGAGTGGTCATGGATAGTTGTGCTAGAGGAGGGTACCGTCTTCACGGGACCCATTCTGAAGCATCCTGAATTTCTTCTTTGAGGTGTAAACGACTTCCACAAGGCTGGGGGGTTTGCCAGTGAGTAGTCCGTTCAGGTCTGCAGTGGTATATGTAGCAATCTGGTCGTTGGTGTACTTGACTGTTCCGTCCTGGAGGCGCTGATTAATTTCTGAAGACTGCATTCTGTTCTGGTTGGTTGTGTAGAAGTATACACCCTTCAGGACCTGGACTTGTGCTATAGCAGTGTCAGTGGCGCCGTGAGATGCATCCGAAGTTTCTTGTGTTTTAGCTTTCTTGGCTGGTGGCTGAACTGGTGAAGGCAAGGTTTCTGATTGGTCAGTTGCACTAGCAGTGGATGTAGGGGGTGGTAGACTCTCATTGGTGGGAGTTGCTGGTGTCTCGGTGGTCTCTGATTGGTCCATCTCTGTGTCGAGTGAAGCTTGTGGTAGTGGTGTAGCAGCGGTGATGTTGGCGACATTAGCAGTGGATTTTATGATCTCATTGGAGGGTGGTGATGCAGGGAATGTAAAACCAGGAATATTGTTGAGCTTGAAGAGTTCGTTGATGGTGGAGTTGAAGGAACCAGGCTCAGCTATGTTTTGTACATGAGCATACATGATGCAGTAAAGAATCTTGGTGGAGTCGCCAGCAGGAGCTGGCGGGGAAGTGGTGGAGGCAGCTTGTGTGGCTTGTAAGATCTTGGTAGTGTCTGCTTGAAGTTTGGTGATAGCAGCAGTTGTGGCTGCCTCCACCTGTTACATAATGACATATTTTATTCATTCTAGAATGTATATCATGTTTCTATGTTATTTATATTGTTTGTTATGTCATATTAGATGAACTCTGATATATAAATAAGATGTATAGATGATATTAGCAAAATTATTCATGAAGTATTTTGCCCGGTCTCCAGACAAACTCTCGTCCACTGCTGGCACCACCCATACCACTATATATGAATGGCATATTTTATTCATTTTAGAGTATAGATCAGGTTACTTTGTTATTTATATTGTTTATTATGTCATATTAGATGAAGTAAGATAGATAAATAAGCTAAAGAGTTGATATTAGCGAAATTATTGAAGTACAGAATTCCACTGGAACGGATTAATTTGACCCTCGAATTTAGTAGTCCCTTTTCTGTATGCAAAACTATAGTTATTCTCTATAAAATGTATTTTTTGTTAATATTTCCCATAAGAAATAATGTAAATCCAATTAAACAATTCCAGACACCCAAAAATATTAACAAACAATACATTTTATAGAGAATAACTATAGTTTTGCATTCAGAAAAGGGACTACTAAATTCGAGGGTCCACTGTAATTTAAATGAGGAAAATTGATTCTGCAAACGAGCAAATCCAGTTGCGAGCAAGGTCAAGGAACGGATTAAACTCGCAAGTAGAGGTTCCACTGTATTTTAATTTTCTCCATACTCCTTCCAATCTGATAGCAAATCTTTCATTGCCTAGACTTTGTTACTTTTATTTCCTTGCAGCAAGCTAAAAGTAATGTAGATGTCCTGTTCGAGAACAATGTATGGTGTGAATATTATGAGAGAGTTCAGAGTAGAAATTACATGGTCAAGTTACAGAAGGTATAATTCAGAGAGCTGAATAGGGGTTGTTGAGGATGTTTGGGCATTCAGAGAAGATGGAGCAAAACAGGATGACTAAAAGCATATATAAATCCCTACAGAACATCCTACCAGGAAGTGCTGTAGGGAGGGAGTAAAGGAGGTTGAGTGTTAGGGGCTTGAGCATCCAGCAGACTTGTAAAAGTGTGTTAGAATGAAGTGAGATAAGGTAAAGTGGTTTTCATGACTTGTCATGCTGTTGGAGTGTGAGCAGGGGATTAGGGAAAAACTAGTCAGTCAGACTGAAGTTCTAGAAGTGAGAAGTAAAGTGCCTGCACTTTGAAGGAGGGGTGAGGATGCTGAAGTTTGAGGGTCAATTGAATTGTGATGTCTGTGCAATTCTGGTAAGACAGCTACTGAATGAATAATGGCGAGTGATTTTTTTTTTTGGGGGGGGGGGGGGGGGAATGGAGGTCATTCTACCTTGGTAGGAAACTTCCATGCATTAAAAAAAAAATATTAAATGAGTGACTTCCTAATTACTAGTTTTATACTTTAAGAGTTTAAAATGACAATTTTAAATATTCAAAGAACTCTATTTGCATCTGTTTATAATGTTATGGACTCAGAAAATAATTTAACATTTTTAATTCCAAGGTAACATATTAAGAGTGGATGAAGAGACTGCCTACACATGGCCTACATGTGGTAAATGCAAGAGTGATAACATACAAGATAAGCAAAATGACACAGTAGATTGTTTAGCCTGTGGGGAAAAATCTAGCATTCCTGGAACTGGGTACTGCTTAGAGGTGTTTCTGAACTGTGGATTAGAGCTACATCTGGCAGGGGTAAAAGTGAAGGTAAGACATTTGTTACTATAGTGCTGCATATCACGAAATAAACAGAGTAGAGCTACGGAAGCCTGACTCATAACATTCTAAGCCTTCTTTTTTTCTTTTAACACACCGGCCGTATCCCACCGAGGTGGGGTGGCCCAAAAGGAAAAACGAAAGTTTCTCCTTTTCTTTCTTTCTTTCAACACACCGGCCGTATCCCACCGAGGCGGGGTGGCCCAAAAGGAAAAACGAAAGTTTCTCCTTTTACATTTAGCAATATATACAGGAGAAGAGGTTACTAGCCCCTTGCTCCCGGCATTTTAGTCGCCTCTTACAACACGCATGGCTTACGGAGGAAGAATTCTGTTCCACTTCCCCATGGAGATAAGAGGAAATAAACAAGAATAAGAACTAGAAAGAAAATAGAAGAAAACCCAGAGGGGTGTGTATATATATGCTTGTACATGTATGTGTAGTGTGACCTAAGTGTAAGTAGAAGTAGCAAGACATACCTGAAATCTTGCATGTTTATGAGACAGACGAAAGACACCAGCAATCCTACCATCATGTAAAACAATTACAGGCTTTCGTTTTACACTCACTTGGCAGGATGGTAGTACCTCCCTGGGCGGTTGCTGTCTACCAATCTATTACCTAGAATATATATACATTCTAAGTGTTGTTTAAAAATAATTCATTCTGTTGATAAAAAAACTTAAGTGCAGTTTGTTTAAGTATATCTCTTAGTTTCAATCTTCTCAAACCCCTATGTTTATTACATGTTTTAATTTATTTTATAACTTAATTTCAACACAACCACCAAGGAGGTACTGTCTCCACAAGTGATGTGAAAGGAAACCTGTAATTGTTTTGACGGTATAAGGTGTTTTTAAAAAAAAATAACTGGGTTTTTCAGGTACGTTTGCTACTTCACTTTCAGTACACACATGCATGAACATATTATATACACACACCCCTCGGGTTATTACTCATTTTCTACTGGGTCTTGTTTTGTTTATTTCTCATCTCCATAGGGTAAGTGGACAGAATTCTTCTCCTAGCCAAACATAATGCATTTCGTAAGAGGCGATTAAAATGCTGGAGTTGGTACTACTATATGCATGGTATATTCTCCTTATGCCTCCATGGCTAAGGTTCTTTATCTCCACAGATGCCTCAGCACATCACCCATCCACCGACAGGTTCACTCCCAAATGTCTGAACACATTTACTTCTTTAATCTTTTATTACCTGGATTTTCTGTTTGTTATTATCACCTTGCTCTTTGCATCTTTCACATGCTCTAAATTCTTCTGCCAACCTTTGCAACTTCTCTTCGGCAAGAAGCAGCTATGACTACCACTTTTTAATCCTGCACCTTTCCCAAGCAACGTATTATTCGTGAGTTTCTTTTACAATCACATCTATAAACATGTTAAACAACCATGGTGACATGACGCATCCCTGTCTAAGGCCTACTTTTACTGGAAAATATAAGTACAATACTGGCAAGTTTCAAGGTATCATGTGTCTGTAAAACAAATTAACATTAACCAAGAATTTTTACAGTACTCGGTGTAATCAGAATGTCATTGATTCATGTGACAGTCAAAGAATGACATGAGCATAAACTTCTTTAAAAACATTCACTTGCTCAGATTTTAAGTATTTTTTTTGTTTGCTCCATTGTTTTTAATGAATCCTGCTTTTTAATATTTGACTGAAGACTTATGCAGTTATTAACAACATTTTCTTCCTAACAGCTTTACCAGAGAACTATTGAGAAGCTGCTCTTAGACATTAATGATATACATGGAGTGAGTGAAGATGCAGTTTGTTGTTCCTATACTAATATGAAAATATAAACTGGCTGTAATCTTGACTAATTAAGCTTTACCAATTTAAAATGTAAAGTAAATCAATATCAGTAAACACCAAATGTGAACATGTATAGTGTTTAAGTCTTATTTTATTCCAGGAGTATGATGCAGCATCACTTGTAGATAAACACGTTGGACCAATGGTGTGTGTGTTGCAAGAGATCAACAGAGCAAAACGTACATCGAGTCAAACCTACACACTCATTGAGCTTCCATATTGAACTTAAATGCTCAAACTAATAAGAGGTTTTCCATTTTGTTATATAGTGTTACCAATAGCCACTATATAATGGCAATCAATCATATCAAGTCAAACTGCAAGATAATGTTCACACACAGGAAGTTAATTTAGTATTTTAAAATGCTTTTATTTTTATAATGGTACAATCAATATGATAAATATATTTATATACTAGTGTATACAGAAATATATTTACTTCTCATTACTACTTATACTATAATGTATACCTTCTCCAATTTTACAAGATCAGTAATATTTTATTTTTACATATAATGTATGATAAATTCAGATTCTAAATGCTCTCTTATGTCTTGCATTTATCATTGCCAGTACTGAACTCTGTAATGTTAGCAACAGGCACCACTTGCACTGTAGACCAAGTTTTATAATTTACAAAACCACCCCCACATGAATCGGAATCTAGCTCTTAATATCTGTTTACAAGAGAGAGTGCTGCATAATCCTACAGGTTTAGCGCTTCCCCTTGATTATAATAATAATAATACAAGAGAGAGTTCCATAAACCCAAACCAGAGTAATATAATTTAAATCCCTCCATGCTACTAGCTTGGCTTATTGACAGGTGGGAGGGAACATGTGTTATACACTAATTTGTGTGGTGGTGCTAATGGGAGATTACATAAAAACATGCACAGTAGATCTGAAGAGACTGCAGTGTATTTTGGTCTCGTCTTTAACCATACATATCAATTTATCTTCCATTCTTTTCTTTGGTCTGAGCAAAAATCACCTTTAACAAGAGAGATTTTCTTCCTGCATACAATGTACTATAAGTCTGGACCATGAAACCTCTCAAAGGCAAAAAGGGTGAACATGGAAGATGTTTCATAATCCAAGTTTACAGTACATTGTATGAATGAAGGAAATCTCTCGTTACAGGTGATTTTTACTTGGACTAGAGAAAAGAATGGAAGATAAATTAATATCTATGGTTAAAGATGAGACCAAAATAGATTGCATCATCATCAAATCTGCAGTCTAGGGTTATTTATGGTTGCTGCTGCTGAACACTGTTCATCTTGTGACAAGTTTGGGGTCTTAGCATAGTTTAATAGCCTAGATCATTTGCATATCCCATTAGTCTGCAGTTCATGATTATAAATATATACAGTAGGCACTGTAAATAACAGAGCATCAGTGTCATGAACATTAGTCAATGGTAGAAGGAAACTCGTGTAGACAAAAACAGGAGAATAGTTGATTTGTATATTTTGATCAGCAGAGCACAGAGAGAATTATTATTATTATAATCAAAAAGAAGTGCTAAGCCACAAGGGCTATACAGCAGAAAGAGAAAAATCTCACTCTTTTACAGTGGCAACTAAGCAAATTGTCAGGGTCCAATTTCAGTTTGCTGCATTCTATTGGACTGTTTTGTATATCAGTGAGCATGCAGAATTTATCTCTGACATCACCACTAACACCTCTGACACACTCCCTGTGACTTTTTGCTAGCAACAGATTTATTAAACAAACTTTGATGATTCTTCCTTTAGCACTCCTCACTGCCCTTACAAACTACCTCCGTTATACTCTCCACCCTTGCTAGTTGCAGATCAGCACATTACACAGTTCACACACCCTACCATGCAGCACTGTATGACCCTGGTGGGTTTAGCACTTAGTTTTGATTATAATAATATAGTGACAGATGGGTAGAGGGACAAGTAAATGTCAGTTCTACTTGTTAATGTAGGGGAGAGGCTTGAGATACCTCATGGCCACAAGGGACACTTAATGTCTCATTAAACCATGAACTGATATTTACTTCTTTAATGTGAATTTATGTCCAGTTGGAGTTGTCCTTAAATGAAAGTACATTATTATTATAATCAAAGAAAGCACTAAACCAACAAGGGTCATGCAGCGCTGCATGGTAGAGCCGGGGCTATAAACAGCTAGATGGAGAGGGGATCAGAGGTGAGGGGAGAAAAGGACTGGAAGGGATGCTAAGGGTTATGTGTCAAAGTTTATACAGTAAATTAGTTGCTGACAAAGTCAAAAAGTGACTGTAAATCAAAGGTAGGGCTGTCTGCAAGAAGGGAAGATAAGGTAAGAGCGGTAGGGCAGTGGTGTCATCGGGGGTAAGTACCACGAGCTCGTTGGTAACCGGGCAATCCACAAGAAAGTGAAGAACCGAGATAGAGACCTGGCAAACCTCAGAGAGGAATAGGATGTTCCACGAGATACCCACGGGTAAGGTGGGTATGGCCGATGCGGAAACGGAAGATCACAGTCTCCCAACTATGGCAACAGTGGTAAGAAGATGGCCACAAACCTAAAATTGTTATAATCAGAGAAAGCGCTAAACTGACAAGGGTCACCCCTCAAGGAAGGTTCCTTGATGTTGGTGAGGGGCTCTTGATTTAGGGAATTGGATCTGTGCTCCAGTTCCCCGAATTAAGCCTGAATGCCTTCCACATCCCCCCCCCCAGGCGCTGTATAATCCTCCGGGTTTAGCGCTTCCCCCTTGATTATAATAATAATAATAATAATGACAAGGGTCATACAGCTCTGGGGGGCAGAAAATAAATAGTGCTGGGGCTATAAACAGCTAGGTGGAGAGGGGATCAGAAGTGAGGAGAGAAAAGGACTGCTAGAGACACTAAGGGGTATGTGTCAAAGTTCATACAGTAAATCAGTTGCTGACAGTCAAAAAGTGATTGTAAATCAAGGGTAGGGTCGTCTGCAAGAAGGGAAGATAAGATAAAGAGTGGTAGGGCAGAGGTGTTGGAGGTAAATCCTGCAAGCTTGCTGGTAAACCAGGCAATCTTCAAGAAAATGAAGAACCGAAATAGGGACCTGACAAACCTCACAGAGAGGAATAGGGTGGCGTTCCATGAGATACCCATGAGTAAGGCGAGTATGGCCAATGTAGAGATGGGAGAGCACAGTCTTCTGAGTACAGCAACGGTGGGAAGAAGATGGCCACAAACCTAAAAGTGGTTTAGAGTGCAATTTGTTATGGTGCATGCCCAACCGCAGTTGTTGCCAATGGCCGCGAGGACGGGACGAGATGATCAGAAAATAATCTCTGAACGGAATACCTCTATAGGAAACTGGAAGACCATGTACCACTGACCACACAGCAGCATCTGTTTATTCACTGCCCTGCATGTCAACATGTCCAGGGACCTAACAGAAAATTACCTGTTTTTGCTAGCCACACCCCTCAAGAAAAGTTCCTTGATGCTGGTGAGGGGCTCTTGATCTAGGGAACTGGATCTGTGCTCCAGTTCCGCTGAATTAATCCTGAATACCTTTCATCCCCCACAGGCGCTCTATAAACCTACGGATTTAGCGCTTCCCCCTTTGATTATAATGATAATTTTGCTAGCCACACGATGCAACCATAGTTGAATACAAAGGACCAATGGATGAGGGGAATCAAATTGTTTAATGGCTTGTAAAGCACTGAGGGAATCTGAAATGATCACAAATGTTGAAGGAGACATATATGTAATAGGGAGAAGCTCTACGAGGATAGCATACAACTTGGCAGTAAAAATACTAGCCGAGTCTAACAAACGACCTTGGACAACATCGTCAGGGAACACCGCTGCAAACCCAACACCATCAGAAGATTTAGAGCCATCTCTATAAACAGTAACCACATGAGCATGTGACCAGAAGTGATCAAGAAAAAGCGAGAAAAAAGCAGGTAGGAGAGCTTTGGCGCATGGCAGAACAGGCAAACCGTTAGAACCTCCCAAGGGGGAGAGAAAAGGCAAACGCTAAATGAACATACAAGGGAGGCAACTGGAGAGAAGACCGGAGGGAAAACAAACAGAAAACGGTCGGAGTAAGCAGGGGCGTTAAACAAATAATGGGCTTCTACTAACGTCTGAGACCAACCTGTATGTAGACGGAACACGAAGGTGATGAAAGCAGACAAAGTAATGAAGGCAACGAGCATCCTGACGATCAGCTAAGGAAGGAACATTCACCTCAGCATAGAGGCTTTCAACAGGGGATGAACAAAAGGTACCAAGGCATAAACGTAGACCCTGATGATGAAGGGGATCTAACTTAGAAAGAATGGTAGGAGAAGCTGCAGAACAGACTTGGTTGCCATGATCCAGCTTGAACAAGACTAGGGTGGAATGCAAACGGAGGAGAATCCGACGATCTGCTCCCCACGAATGGTGTGCAAAAATTTTAAGGAGATTCAGCCGACCACAGCACGCTGCCTTGAGAGAGGAAATGTGAGGTTTCCATGTCAACCAGCGATTGAAGAGAAGGCCAAGAAATTTGACCGTATCACATTCTGGAATACGTGAGCCGTGTAAATATAACGGAATGTCTGGGACAAGAGGATGTCTAGTGAAGGTAATGAAATGGGTTTTCACACTAGAAAAATGAGAAGTGGCCCAATGAGAAACTCGGTCAATCGCATCCTGAAGGGAGGCTGCTACCAGGCAAATGAAAGTATAGTATTTGGCTTATAACCATTGCTTTTGAGAAAAAAACACTTAGAAGTAGGGGTTATAGACAAAATACCATACTTCAACTAGACATAATTACCAAATTCACACTAAAGTACACACTGGTGCCTAATTTAATCAGAAGTGCACCAACTATTTGAGACTTCCCTCAAATCCACAATTAGATGTCATGTACTAAAGTGTTACCCATATATTATCAACTTGTAATGACATTTGTCCCCAACCTGGTCACCACTACAAAATGCAGTTTTCTTATTCTTTGTATTCTGCTGTCAAGGATTACTGACCGATATCAAAAATACCTATACAGAAAAACTACTCCCAGGTCTTGGTCTACTTGAAACCTTTTCAGTTACTGTGTATAATATTATACACACAATAAACAGAAGACTGTACATTTATTAAAAAAATAGTTTTTGTGTGTGTCCTCTTCTGTTTTATATTTGTTGTACTACATAATAAATTATATTTTTTATATGATAAATGAACTCTTTGCTCTCACCTAATGTTCTTGGAATGATCTGTCACTGGGAAGATTGATTAAAATGTCATGCTACTAGATTATCATTTTGAGACATTGTAATTTTTCACAACTGAAGAAATCAATGTTAGACATCTACTTGTCCTGCTCCTTTCCTGAAATAAAAAAAACAGTTACTCAGAATACTTAGTGATTTAGTTTAGAATGAAGTCTTAGGATGTCAAATTATTACATTACTATACTTTTGGGAAGTGTTTAACACATACGAGTCATAGCCCCTGAAGAATGGGAGGCAATCAGGTTTGATCCAAAGTAGAAGGTAGCTCTAATTCCCAAAATCAAGAGCCCTTCACTAGTAATTACCCTCAAGGGAAGTTCTTGGATGCCAGTAAAGGGTTTATGATTCAAGGAATTCTCTTTGTTTTTCCTTGGATTGAACCTGATTGCTTTCCATTCTCTCAGGTGCTGTATGATCCTTACAGGTTACTTCTCATACCGTGAGTACTGGCACCTCAATAAGATTAATTTTATTATGGAGAAGCACTAAACCTGCAGGGGTCACATAGTGCCTGGTGAATGGTAGGCATATATTGAACAAATGCACCAAGCACTTCAACACTATATCCCCCACCTGCTTTTAACATCTTGTGTCTTGATCCTATCTATACCCTCTTTCATCGTACGCACTGCCTCGTGCACCTTTCCCAAACACACATCTGGCTCTTCCCACAATTCCTCAAACTATTCCCTCCATCTTCCTATCTAACATTTTTCCCTTCTTTTTTTTAAACTACTAAATCCATTTGTTGCCGAGAGCAAGGGGCTAGTAATCCCTTCTGTATACATTACTTAGTAATGTACTCAGTGGGATACAGCTGGTTTCTTGAAAAAAAAAAAAAAAAAAAAAAAAAAAAAAAAAAAAAAAAAAAAAAAAAAAAAAAAAAAAAAAAAACAATCCATTTGTTTCCCCTAGGCTTTCTCAATTTATAAATCATGGCACAAAACTTTTTGTCAGTAATTTTTTTTTATAAAGCTTCACCCACTCTTACTGGTGAAAAGTGACATTTGGTAATGTTACACAATGAGTCTCATTCTTCAACTTGTCGGTTTTCTAAACCATTTATATCACACTCCTATTGGTACTCCTTTTGCACTACCTTCCCAATATTTTAACCTCTCTCTATTCTCTCCTTATACTCTGCCCTCTGTATATCACTTAAACACTGTAAAAAAAACTCATGTTAAATTTTCTCCTCATTCCATCAAATGCTGAGCTTGAAAAGATATCTAATTAGATCACAACAAAATCATAGTCAATGATGAGAAGACCTTCAGCATAATGTTTGGGAACAAAGCTAAAGATATTCATTTCAACATAAAGATAAATAATTCACTAATCAAAAGTCAGGATGAAAGTAAATTCTTGGTAGCACACCTGGGCACCAAATTAAAATTCCACTCAGATCCAGAATATTTCTAATACTGTAAAGTCCCCCCCTTACTCTACTACTCCACAATCTATGCCTATCTCACCTATTGTATTTGTGCACAGGGATCAAGAACAACAAATCACTTGAAACCAGCAGAAATCTGCTCTTAGAATTATCACTCATTCAGTTTCTAGGCAACACACACCAACCCCCTTCCTTTTCAAAATCTTAAATTTGCTTAAAATTCAAAATATTCACACTACTGTGCATGCTATGTATATAGGGAACTCGGTACAAACATTAACCCAAAGCTTAAACTGTTTTTGGAGAGCTGCAACAGAATGCATTAACACAATACGTACAAGGAATAAGTATCTCTTTGACATACCATGTGTACGACTCAACCTGTTCAAAAACTTGATGCAAATAAAAGGCCCAAAAATATGGAACTCATGGACTGAAACTGTCAAAAGTTCACTATCGTTCAACAGCTTTAATAACATAGTTAAACACCTATTAAATCTTACTTAATGTTATATCCAATAAGTGATTGTAAATAATCAAGCAATACTAGCACTGCTATAATTCTGCCACTCCATCAAATGCACATCATCAAGGTGATACAAATTCAATGTAAATAGTCTGTAATTGCATAAAATTATATGCTATGAACAGAATTAAATAGCATGTAAGTTCTAGGGTTAGTCTGGCCAAAATGCTGGGCAAATTAGATGGCTTTCTATTGGACATTCAATTGTACCAAATTGCCCTTCTACTATACAGTGGAACCTCTGTTTCCGTATGCCCTGGTTTTTGTAGGATTTGGTTTTCGACGACTTTTTTTATCTAAATTTTGTCCCAGTTTTTGTATATCCGCTTGGTTTTCGTAGAGTTGACAATGGTCCGTACCAAACGTATCTGCCTGCCTGCGCCCACACAAAGCATCCCACATGTCCTGACTTAGTCTGGCATTATTTCTCGTTGAGTGAACACTACCCAGAGCATTTGGATAACATTTTGTAATAATCCATTGTTTTTTGTGCTTGTTTATTGAATGCGACTGCTAAATAAGCCATCGTAGGGCCAAAGAAAGTTCTGAGTGCCAGCCCTTTGATAAAGAATACGAGAAACATGATAGAATTCAAGAAAGAACTCGTGGTAAATTACAAAAGTGGAAAAGGGGGATTCCCCTTCCAAACAATAACCTCTCCTCTTTCCTCTCCCCTCCTCGCCGTCTTCCATACACCAACGAGTCTTCAATGAAGGTAAAAAGTCATGTTAAATGTTCATTTATCCATTTTATTAGTCATTTATATTTATTTCTCACTGCTTTCTGTATGTAAAACTATAGTTATTCTCTATAAAATGTGTTTTTTGTTAATATTTTTGGGTGTCTGGAAAGGATTAATTGGATTTACATTATTTATTTTTTTATTATTTTTTTTTTTTTTTATTATCACACTGGCCGATTCCCACCAAGGCAGGGTGGCCCAAAAAAGAAAAACTTTCACCATCATTCACTCCATCACTGTCTTGCCAGAAGGGTGCTTTACACTACAGTTTTTAAACTGCAACATTAACACCCCTCCTTCAGAGTGCAGGCACTGTACTTCCCATCTCCAGGACTCAAGTCCGGCCTGCCGGTTTCCCTGAACCCCTTCATAAATGTTACTTTGCTCACACTCCAACAGCACGTCAAGTATTAAAAACCATTTGTCTCCATTCACTCCTATCAAACACGCTCACGCATGCCTGCTGGAAGTCCAAGCCCCTCGCACACAAACCTCCTTTACCCCCTCTCTCCAACCTTTCCTAGGCTGACCCCTACCCCGCCTTCCTTCCACTACAGACTGATATACTCTTGAAGTCATTCTGTTTCGCTCCATTCTCTCTACATGTCCGAACCACCTCAACAACCCTTCCTCAGCCCTCTGGACAACAGTTTTGGTAATCCCGCACCTCCTCCTAACTTCCAAACTACGAATTCTCTGCATTATATTCACACCACACATTGCCCTCAGACATGACATCTCCACTGCCTCCAGCCTTCTCCTCGCTGCAACATTCATCACCATGCCTCACACCCATATAAGAGCGTTGGTAAAACTATACTCTCATACATTCCCCTCTTTGCCTCCACGGACAAAGTTCTTTGTCTCCACAGACTCCTAAGTGCACCACTCACTCTTTTCCCCTCATCAATTCTATGATTCACCTCATCTTTCATAGACCCATCCGCTGACACGTCCACTCCCAAATATCTGAATACATTCACCTCCTCCATACTCTCTCCCTCCAATCTGATATTCAATCTTTCATCACCTAATCTTTTTGTTATCCTCATAACCTTACTCTTTCCTGTATTCACCTTTAATTTTCTTCTTTTGCACACCCTACCAAATTCATCCACCAATCTCTGCAACTTCTCTTCAGAATCTCCCAAGAGCACAGTGTCATCAGCAAAGAGCAGCTGTGACAACTCCCACTTTGTGTGTGATTCTTTATCTTTTAACTCCACGCCTCTTGCCAAGACCCTCACATTTACTTCTCTTACAACCCCATCTATAAATATATTAAACAACCACGGTGACATCACACATCCTTGTCTAAGGCCTACTTTTACTGGGAAAAAATTTCCCTCTTTCCTACACACTCTAACTTGAGCCTCACTATCCTCGTAAAAACTCTTCACTGCTTTCAGTAACCTACCTCCTACACCATACACTTGCAACATCTGCCACATTGCCCCCCTATCCACCCTGTCATACGCCTTTTCCAAATCCATAAATGCCACAAAGACCTCTTTAGCCTTATCTAAATACTGTTCACTTATATGTTTCACTGTAAACACCTGGTCCCCACACCCCCTACCTTTCCTAAAGCCTCCTTGTTCATCTGCTATCCTATTCTCCGTCTTACTCTTAATTCTTTCAATAATAACTCTACCATACACTTTACCAGGTATACTCAGCAGACTTATCCCCCTATAATTTTTGCACTCTCTTTTATCCCCTTTGCCTTTATACAAAGGAACTATGCATGCTCTCTGCCAATCCCTAGGTACCTTACCCTCTTCCATACATTTTTTAAATAATTGCACCAGCCACTCCAAAACTATATCCCCACCTGCTTTTAACATTTCTATCTTTATCCCATCAATCCCGGCTGCCTTACCCCCTTTCATTTTACCTACTGCCTCACGAACTTCCCCCACACTCACAACTGGCTCTTCCTCACTCCTACAAGATGTTATTCCTCCTTGTCCTATACACGAAATCACAGCTTCCCTATCTTCATCAACATTTAACAATTCCTCAAAATATTCCCTCCATCTTCCCAATACCTCTAACTCTCCATTTAATAACTCTCCTCTCCTATTTTTAACTGACAAATCCATTTGTTCTCTAGGCTTTCTTAACTTGTTAATCTCACTCCAAAACTTTTTCTTATTTTCAACAAAATTTGTTGATAACATCTCACCCACTCTCTCATTTGCTCTCTTTTTACATTGCTTCACCACTCTCTTAACCTCTCTCTTTTTCTCCATATACTCTTCCCTCCTTGCATCACTTCTACTTTGTAAAAACTTCTCATATGCTAACTTTTTCTCCCTTACTATTCTCTTTACATCATCATTCCACCAATCGCTCCTCTTCCCTCCCACACCCACTTTCCTGTAACCACAAACTTCTGCTGAACACTCTAACACTACATTTTTAAACCT